ACAGAGCATTGCTCACAGTAAATCTGAATGATTGAATCTTGTCATTGTCACATCCCCCACACCCTCATGTGGACCAATATGTTCTCACACCTGCTGGCAGTTAAAGGGTTAAGTCTGATGGAGGTTCCTACAGGAATATAAATTCATATTATCAGGGCATAATTAGGATTAATAAGAGAAATTCTCCAAAATACAGGACCAGGCTGCAAATTTAAAATAAATTATATATCTGGAGCAACTTTGGAAAAAGAAACTCAATGATAATCAAATTGAATTGTTTATTGGTATGAAGGAGAGAGTGCTGAGGTTTGGCTACCTTTGTACCTTTGTAATTACTAGTTGATAAATGAGCAATGGACACACTATAGGAGGAATTCGATGCTGTGACAATCTCAGCACATAAACCAGGCCTGGGTTAAACACAAATATTAATAAAAGCTGTAGGGGTGCAGTCAGACAATCGTGACTTGTAAAAAATAAAATTAAAAAAACCCCATTTAATACAAAAATAAAATAAGAGTATGTGTTGGGGCAAATGAACTGTTACAAGGACACTGAATACATTAGGGTTTATTCACTAAACAGTAACTTGATGAGAAAGTAAAATATTCTAATTTAAGGTCGAGTTGTAGATATTATCCAATTTATATGGAGATTTTTGTTTAAAATATTTTACTCCCTCCCTCCCTCCCCCCACAGTCTATTCCTGCCCCCCACAGTCTAAATTTATTTTTAAAGTTTTCTATTTTGATCTCAGTTGGTTGTCTACTCAGTTAATAACAAAAATAAAAGATTCCCTTGATATTCACAAGAGGAGTTTGCCTGCTAAGCTACCTGATCCTGTTTAAAGAAAAGAGTTAATAAATGGTTTAACTCTGTACCAGTTACAGGCTACTGGAACTCTCTGGGGCGTGAAGAGTTAAGAAGGTCTCGAGTTATTCAGAAGGACAGAAAGCTATGTAGGAAGAGGGAGAGAAGTTGGGGAAATGGATTCTCTGACAAGTAGCTGTAATAAATGAGGGTGTCTTTCAGACAGATATCTCAGACGTGAAATTGCACCCAGCTGGTTATGTATGGAAAACAAATAGTTTTGTGTAAGGGGCACCCTAGACTTGTGGCTTGATGAATAGGAAACAACAGAGGTAAATGGCTATTTAACTCATTTAGGAATAAAACTGTTTGGCTTGTGTAGTAAAAGAGACCAAGGACCCAGAGCAAGGAGTTCACAAAGAGTTATTAGTGAGCACTTGTGATTAGTGCTACTCCTAGGAGCTGATTTGTCATATGTCACCAAACTGTGACTCCAAGGCTCATAGGGCAAACTTTACAATTCTATATGGTGTTCAAGTCTTGTAACTGGCCCTCCCTGGGACACGGGGAACATGTGCCCTTTACTGAGATCGATAATGGCAGTAAAATAAAATTAACCCCCTCCCTCCCCCAGAAAGAGTGAGGACTGACCCCAGTCATAAAATGTCAATGAACTGAATCTCAAACATTCTTCAACTTACTTAGGAAGTAACTGTGAGGTAACAGTCCAAACAAATCCCTGTGTCAGCAATTAAAACTCGAATTAACCCCTTTATATCAAACCGGTTAAGGTCCCATTATATCAGGACGAAAGTGACATGCCATCAAATGAGTTAATGGCTGCAGCTGGCCCTGTTATTCTCTGAATGAAGTTGTACAACGCAGAAAGGGTTAAAATCACAGGGGAACCGTGGCTCCTTAATGTTAGACAGAGATTTGGGGATTCGTCAGAAGTCCAGTTTTTGTCATTCACTATCCCGTTTGGCAAACCCCCATCTAAGCAACATTTAAACTGTTTAACATTAATTTTGTTTTTATATACATTGAAGCAATTACATAAAGCCATGCCCCAATTCACACACAACTCCCTTCTTTTCATGTTGAATACATTGTATTATATAGAACCTTCGTCAATAAATGTTTAATTCTAAGCAGGAGATCTCTTTACACTTGTGTGGATTTGTTATAGATATCCTGATACCATTTTTGTGTGTTGTGGAAATAAGCTACTTTGCCAACTCTCTGGCAAACTATTTCTTTAATTTTAATCAGCCAAACTGCGTCACCATGTACGCAATCCACTTCGAATAGGAAAGCTTGTATGGTATACTGAATGACGCAAAAACTGACGCACTTTCCCAGACAACCTGTGGAGTTGGATATTTGATTATTATATCCAATGTATTCGTGAGAAATGCAGACTACCTAATAGTATAGGAGAGGAAACTACACATCTACCTTAAAACTACAGTCAGACAACAGCTGGAGAGGTAGCTGTTAGCCCCCATATGTGTGACCTAGAACTGTCCGGTAAGATGGAGCATTGTTGAACAGAGAGGCTGACACTTTTCTACAAGGTTTCATCTTGGTCAGCTGTTCAAATTGCCCTATTTATCAAAGTCAAACGATAACCCACCCATCCAGGAGAAGCTGATCTCTGAATCAGAAGGCTGGGATTTTCATTTGTATTAATGCAAAATATTTTCCCCATGTTTTCCTCGATAGAGATATATGGGTAAATTAAACAATTTAAATAAATGATTTGTTAATTTACTAATTATTCTATTTATCGATTTACTTAATGGTTAGTTTTTTTATGATACCTAAAATATATATATATATTTTTTTTTAAATATCAACTTTTAAAAGTAATTTGTTTTTATTTTGTAGAGAACGCAAAGAATCATTGTAAAAATAAATAAAAAACAAATAAACAAACAAAAAAAAAAAAAGAATGAAATAAAATAAAAAAACCTGAAAGCCGGTTACGAAAGGGTTAACGCTTTCATTTAGGCCAATACATCGCGATTCACGTGGCAACGAAATGGTTAATAGATAATAGAGAGATGTACCTTTAGGCTGGCAAAAAAAAAATGGCAAAATGGATTTTCATCCCTAAACTTTGGTGAGAAGAAAACCGAATTTGACGATTTTAAGGTAATGTAGCCAAATAGAAGAAATGATCTAGGACATTTTTTGTTAATTCATTAAAATGAATTAAAATTGTTCCACAAATTGTCAGCTTCGGATTTCTGTTTACCACTGCCACCATTAAATTACTTAAACTACCAAATAAAAATAATTAAATTAAATTTAAAAAAAACCTAAAAAATAAACAATCAAAAAAAAAAAACCAAAGCGATTTAAATATAAATACGCGTACATTTTGTCTTACTTTTATAATATAGAAAGTAATCATATTAATATTTATGCAAATACTGTAAAGTCAGTTGTTTCAATCGAAATTCAGAATGAATTCAGAAAATCCAGAGGAATTAAATAAAAAAGGAGTTAAAAGAACTCCGAACATGCGAGACTTCACTCCAATTTACACACAGAAAGTGTCTGCTCAGGTTTGAACCCAGAGAGTTCTAAATGAATGACCCAACCTCTATCCCTGCAAGGGTTAAATGTAAACCCAATAAATGATAGCAGTGATACTAATAAAATATTGCACATATTGGGACTCGCTTAGATCACTGGCTGCCTTACAGGGGGGAGGGAGGGAGGGACTGCTCCCATCTTACTGGGGGAGAACCAGACTCAATGTCTTTCTACACTTGTATTGCATCAAAAGACTAAACGGAAGGCTTGTAGAATAATTTGCAAGCGGTGTATTTATGAGACAAATGTCTAATTTGCACATCAGTATTGGTGCTATCAAGATAAGCCTCCCCAGATTATATCTCTCACAGAACAGCCCTGTTTGAAGTATCTGAGAGCATCTTTGTGGTGTGCTCACAGACACACAGATATGATGTCATTCACCCTATTCTCTCCAACACACAAATTGACTGACATCTCATTTACAGAACCAGTTCCACAGAACCAGACTTCCTCACTGGGTCCATAGTAACATCATAGCAGTCTGTATACATTGACTGACTGTGTGTGGGTGTACATCTGTCTCTATCTATCTATCTATCTATCTATCTCTGTCTGTCTCTGTTTGTGTGTGTGTGTGTGTATGTGTGTTTATCTGTTACAGAATTACATTTGATCTTGCATTCATTTATTAAAAATCGAATAGAAAGTAATTGTTTACTATTTTCTAAATATACATTTCCAATAATGAGAAGCCATTGCCAATAAGCCCTTAAACTCCATGCTTTCCGGTTTCTTTTTAAATCAGCCAGCTTATTAATACACCAAGAACGCTCCCCTGACACTATGTATCCTCACAGATCTGCCTCACATTCTATGAAACATTAATGCTCCGATTGGAAACCTGCGACAGCAGCCCAGGAGCATCAGGCAAACCTTTACCTTCAAAAGAGCTATTATAGAAGGGATTTTTAAATGAAAATTGTGTGTGTAGGATGGGAGCAGGGGAATGCACTCATCTTCCATCCTTATTTGGTTTGGCTACAGCAAGATGTCTCCTATAGACAGCGGTCTTTGTGTATATCTGTACAGTATATAATTACACACACATTCAGTATTTACTGCTGTGAATCACTTGTATAATATCTATGTATATCTCACTCAGGGAGAGAAAAAAAGATCATTATATGAAAATCCTTAGAAACTTCACACACAAGGAAAAAACCCACTGTGATAGCTATATTAATAGGCTGGGAATAGCCTTTACCCTGAGAGGAGGCTGGAGATAATAATATTACTGAAATAGATAGCAAAAAATAGGGTCATATCAAAATATCCATTGTGAAGTACTCAGACCTATGAAAAGGTTTTTTTTTCCTACACAATCAAACCGCTCAGACAATGATAAGATCTCTTCTACTATACCCTGTGCTTTAACTCATTGGGCAGGTCACTTCAAAAAAAAGATATATATATATATATAAAAATAATAAGCCCAAATAAAAGATACATTAAAAAATAAATCAATCAACCTTCAATAGAGCCTGCAAATTTGGGCAATAAATAGCTGTCACCAAATCCACTGATTAAAATAGCAAGGTTGAATATTTATAAATTAAAAAAAAAAAATTATTAAATAATTATTGGCCTTCTGATCGGTGGTTTCATTGCTCGTCAAACACACAAGAAAATGTATATTCGCCTAACGTATCCAGATATAAACCTCCCCATTGTGTGATATATTACCAGAAGACCACTACTGGCCATTTTTTTTTTTTATAACATCTTTACAGCCAAACACAGTGTTTATTATATAGATTTATATATATTTGATTTTGCTAAAGTCTTTTTTTTTATTTTGTTTAAATTCTCACTTCAATTTTAATTCTTGGAGAACATTAGCTTCGACAACATATATATCGCACTTATTAAGCAAAGGGTTATATCAAAAATGATTAGTAGAGAATAAACAGGAATTGCTGGTTTGGAACCAGAAAAAATACAAAACAGATATAGATACATAGACACAGGACAATTGCTTTTTTTTTTTTCGTTTTTGTTTTTATATAATGATTTGGAGACTGTTTTCTTCCTAATTCGAATTTCTTGCTGTCTGTAGGCGCATACAATGTATCCAATTTAACAAAAAGAAAAAAACAAACAAAAACAGAACAACAAAAAAAATGAAAATAAAGACTAATATGTTACAAAATTAACATCAGTTTCCATTGGATGGGATTGCGCTGTTCCTACAAGGGATTTATCGTCAGTCCATTTTTTTTGTTTTTATCTCTGTACAAAATTAATCCAGCCCAGTTCACAGAACATCCAAGGAAGGTCCATATTCTTGTTTTATTTAATATTAGAATCCCTTGGTCCATTTCTGCTCAATTTTCCAAACACATGGAGTTCTTTATTGGTATAGCCATATCCTAGGAAGTCTTTAGATAAGTCTATCTCCCCACCACACATGGTCTGAGGTCCACTTTGAAGGTTCTCTATGAACATTGGATAGACATATAAGGCCAGTTGAAGCTACTCCCAGATAATAACATGTCTCTGATGAGAGTCTCTATTGGGGTTTTACCTACCAAACGGACAAAGAAGAGCTGTTCGATGACTGAGGAAGATACAGTACGAAGTGAGGGCAGCCTGAGGAGTAATTTGCCGAACCTGCTAGGCTGGTTGGGATACTGGCTCCTTACATACTCCTCTAAGGCGCATTGAGACTTTTCCTGTAGACTTTCAATATGAGCAGCATCTGAGAGGCCACAGGCATCTATAGGTGACCATGGAGAGAAATAGAGAGGGCATCGAATTAGTGGGATATAGACATAAAACCAGACTGAGAAAAAAGAATCTAAAATAAAATACATTTCAAGAACATTTTATTTATATTATATTAAAGAAGAGAAATAAAATACATCATTCATTAAACAGACAGGGAAGGTGTCTCTGTTGAAGCTAAACGTGAGACCTCAACCCCCTCCCAATTCGGTGATTTTGTGCCTTTAGGGATCCAGTTCGCTACAATTCGGAATTTAGTGAATATGCCTGGATAGTAAATTCGAAAAATCACCAATAAATAATCTATGTTTTATTATTTAATACATTGGTTATTTTACCCCAGCGATCTGCTAGTGGGAGGTGAATTCGCCACAGCACGCTCTTTACAGGATAGACGCAGCAATGTTAGAATAACTGGGGCCTATTTACTAATCAGCGAGATCTGCAGATAACGCAGACCCTGAAATGCAGCGAAGGTGAATATTTAGAGGAAAGAAACCAAATTGGGAAAAATATTATATTAATCCAAGTCGGTATTTTATTTATCCCCCCCACCCCCAACTCTGTTATTTGACTTTTTTTATTATTATTTTTTATCATTATCCTGTCACTAAAACTCGCTGTTTTGTGAATAGACAACTATATTTGAAGCCATAATGAAGCTGTAAACCGGTTCTTAACCTCTCTCACACAGAGCAAGTCTCCAAGTGCACAATTAAATACTTGACTACTATAAAATCATGTATATTTAATGAAACCCAGTGCATACCTGCAGGACTGTACACAGACACTACTCCCGGTATAAACAGGATGGGATGCTTCACACTAGTCCTGGGCCCTGTCCCTGGGGGCCACAGCTGACTTGTTTTGCTACAAGGATTATTGTGTTAAATGTATATGGGGATTTCAGCAATTTGCACAGACAACACTCCTGGCTTCTTCTAAAAACCCATTAAACACACACAGTTTCAAGAGGCTATGAAGTTTGTCTGGGGTACTTTAACCCCTTAAGTGCCAAACGTCTGGCACTTAATGGGTTAAAGAAAACACGTGATCAATGCCTGCCTGGTGTTACTCTATGGGGTTAATGTACTAAAGAGACACTATTAGGAACTCAATTCCAAATTGTAACAATTTACCTGAATATAACCAACTGGCCAGTACTTCCTGACATTTTGTAAGTAGCCTCTTAAAGTATGGCAATTCGCTGTTTAGTACATAAGCCCTCTGCCATTTACTATTTGTAACAGTGAGATTCGAGGACTGGGATCAAAGTGTGTTTTATAACATTCGGCATATTTAACTGGTAAATAATCTAGACAGCTGGTGTGGTGCTATCATTGCACCCTGATCCCATTTATTCTTATGCAGAGAGTCAGACCTTATAGTGTAAATACACACACATGCACACACACTCTCTCTCTCTTTCTCTCCACTTTACTTATTAGAAGGAAATCATACACTGAGCACTATATATACCTATAGAATCGTGCCATACACTCAATATATATATATATATATATATATATATATATACACACACACCCACACACACACACACACACACACACACACACACACATTCACATGTAAATATTGTGCAGTAAGAACCACACACTCTTATAAAATTAGACCATTCGGTGAAATCCACAAACAGCTATATTACCAGATTGTACACTAGACACATATATATCAATAGAACAAAAGGCTACAATGGAAACACACACACAAACACATAACCTAACTATACAATGAGACCTATACAGCTACAGAACTACACCACAACCAGGCCTTTACACACCTATATAACTACATACCAACATATCTAAACAGCCCATCCATACTATCCTATCCTATAGAACCCAGCCTCACAATAAAATTGTATCTATATCTATCTATATCTATCTGTCTATATATATATATCTATCTGTCTCTATCTATCTGTCTGTCTATATCTCTCTATCTATCTATCTATCTGTCTATCTATCTGTATTTATCTATCTGTCTATTTATCTATCTATCTATCTATCTATCTATCTGTCTATCTATCTATCTATCTATCTATCTATCTATCTGTCTATATCTATCTATCTATCTATCTATCTATCTATCTATCTATCTATCTATCTGTCTATCTCATTATTATATTTGAAATTGCACTCTTGTATTCTCTTATTATTAATAGTAATATAATTCTTGCACACAGACCCACACATACATACTTATACTAACAGGATTTATAGGTACATATAGAGCCAATTAACTCAGGCATGTACAGACCCCATCCATACACATATACCCACAATGTACAGACCCCATCCACACACCTATACCCACAATGTACAGACCCCATAACCAATCCACACACCTTTACCCACAATGTACAGTACCCATCCACAAACATAATTACTTACACTAACACGATATATAGGTACATATAGAGCCAATTAACTCAGACATCCACACACCTATACCCACAACGTACAGAACCCATCTACACACCTATACACACAGTGCAGACCTCATAAACCATCCACACACCTATACCTACAATGTACAGACCCCATCCAGACACCTTTACCCACAATGTACAGAAACCATCCACACACCTATACAAACAACGTACAGAACCCATCCACACACCTACAGACACAATTTCAGAAAACATCAATATGAATTAAAAAAGGCTTGCAGCCATACCCAACCATACATTGTTACACTGTTACAGCTCTGCACACACTGACACCCAGACACCAAGATATGACCAAAGAAAGCTATATAATATCACTACTTATTAACTGGGATCTTTAACCCCTTAACCGTGAGAGCAGCAGGGAGAGTGATGGCTTTATCTCTCGGGGTTAATTCATATTTATCATATAAAACTCCTATCACAAATCGAACTGTAAAATTCTTATCGAACCTGGGAAATCTTAACCAATTTAATTTGCTCGGGTGAAAAAAAGACTAAATAATAAAATATATATATATATATTATATTGAAATGACAGTCGAGCAAACCTCAGATCAGGTTAAAATTAATAAAGCTACAGCATTAATCCGGATAACTGTTCATTTCTAAATTTGGAGACTTAAAAATAAAAGAAAATTAAACGAATATGATCAAAACGAAGTGATTTCATTCGGACGTTAATAAACCAGACGATGAAACGATTTGAAGTAATTAAATGTATTTTGGTAGATCAATCACTAAATATCTTTCTTTTTTTTTGCCGGGAGCAACAAATTGAAATAAAGAGATGATGCTTGTGAACCTTTAATCAGCCTTTAGATATATCTAATAATGTCAGCAGTGTTGTACAGGGTATATGTTGATAGTTGGCTAATAACTCTGAAGGTACAATGTGCAAGGCCTCCAAGCACTGTGTGTACACCATTCACACAAGCAAATCTATCATATCCCATATGCCTTATCATTATCTGCACCAATTGCATCAATATAATGCTAGGGAATCAGCAATCTAACACTGTTTATAGAAGGATTGGCACATACAGTGTTACTGTAACAGTGCTAATATTAATATCTCTCTCTCTATATATATATAGAGAGAGAGAGTCTGCTTTAGAACTCCAATAAAAATGTTACAAGTTAACTGTCGACTTTAAACGTCCTCTCTCAACGTAGCAATTGTGAGTGTAACGTTTAGTTCTACAGATACTGCCACACACGAACACACACATACACGTACATAACACGAGCTATACATTAATCTGTGCTTTGATCTCAATTGTTATATATAACCCCCCCATCCCACCTCCCCCCTCCCCTCAAAAAATGGAATGTGTGCTTCCTGGGGGATAAGGATATTAGAATATTAATTCATTCTGCGCCTCTTCTCTGGGCTTGGAAAAGCCAATAACAGAATTGGGAATTGTGTTGCAAACCAAATTCATCGTTACATCCACGCAGTTAATAGTGCATAGAGATAACGCCCCCTTATACATATGAATGGGTGCTCACATGCATCAGAAACCCCTGCATTGCATTTAGTGTGGATTAATATGTCAGTCGATGGGAAATGTGTATATCATCCTTAAATCCAACATACATATTATTTTTTTATTATGATTTTTTTTATTTTTTATTTTTTTTATTTTACAAAACAATCATTTGATTTGGAGGTCTGTTGATTTATTTAATGAAGTTTTTATGATGTCTTAATTGAACTTGCCAGCACAATCTGCTTTGGAATACTAAGCGTGCTATGCAGAATTGATATAAAGAATTAGCAATTTATTATTATTATTAATATTGGTTATCACAAACAGGCAATGTTACATTCTACTCTCAGACTGCATTTGTTTACTGTTTCCCCCCACCAGGAGTTTCCAGTAAACAGGCGGATTGTAAAGTTTAGTAGCAGAATCGGTTAATGTTTAGATGAAATGGATAAATTATTCTTGTTTTAAGGGGAACGTGGGTCGTGACCTAACCTTTGGAAGGCATCCAGAAATACAATAGGTTACACATATTTTCCGAGGGCTAAATGGGAAAACCACAAGCCAGCCTTAAATACTTAGCCCCACGAAACTCATTTTCTAAATTATGCCTGGAAAGTGTGTTATCATCACTTGAGTTTGTATAAGAATTGAAAGGAAAGTAAAAAACCCAAAAACTTTCAATTAGATTTTCTCTAACAGGCTATCAAAGAAAGTTTCTCTATAAAACAAACAAACATTATATAAAAGTTTTTTGTATGTGTGTGTGTATATGTATGTGTGTGTGTGTGTGTGTTGGGGGTGTAGCTGCTATGCTGGGGTGAAACAAGTCTAATTCATTCTGACAGTCCTATTTCCATGTTCAATTATTCAAAGGATTAAAGTATTTAATACTTTTATAGGCACCATATTAATTCATAATATGTTACACTGATTTTGTTTTAAATGCAGATGTTCTTATTTTCAAATCAAGGACATCACTCTAGAGAAGTATATGGCCAGTCCTTACACAGAGAAACAGTAAGCAGTTAAATAGATATTGTGAGTATATGCTCAACTTAAACAATAGATTGCTGCAACAGCTCTCTGAGACACACACACACACACACACAAACGCAAACACACACACACACACACACACACATTATGCATACATGTTTATACCTACACTAACACGTTTTTCGGAAAATGCACACACATTATAATGCATTACATACATAAATACACACACACACATGGACACACACAAATAAAATTTTAACATATGATCCATTTAAATAGCAGGAATGACACACATTTATCATGTCCACGTGCAAACAATGGGGCTGTATCTGTGTGAATCTCTCTCACAGCTAACACTGTCTGATGAATTTAATTGTGCATGCTGCTATTTAAACAGACATTTCTCTATAGCTGGGTCTCTGTAATCCTGTGATCTGACCTCCATCCATCTATCTATCTAGACTCCCATTCATGGCTCTTCCAGGCTGCATCCCAGGCTTGGCTGTATTTACACAGAGTGTACTAGGGGGTACAGTCACAATCCTGGCTACCAGATCTGAACCACCCTGCATAGCAATCACATTTTCTGGGGTCTAAAGAAATGATCAGGCGTTCAAATCGATATTAATAATAGTGCATTTTCTCAATGGCAATACAATGCACATTGAGGAGCTATCTGACACAATGTATACACTTTGAAAGAACAGCCAGGATGCCTGGGCCCCAGGCTCTCACTCTGACAATCTTTGTCTAAAATAAAGCCACAACATTTCCCAGCTATTCACAAGTGGGATTCACTAAGATCATTTAATCGATTTCGAAGAAAAATGGATTCCATGCAAGCAATAATTAAAGGAGCTGGCTGATGTTAAATACATGTGTGATGGGGATGTGGGTTTCCATTGCTTTGTTTACAATAAATATCCTAGCAATCTGGGCTCTCTGTATTCATAGCTCATTAACTATATCTTCTCCTTGTAATGGACACAGTTTAAGGGGGAAGCCCTCACTGATTACCTCTGAGATTGCATTTAAAATCTATCACAAAAAAATAATCTCACCACGTCTGCATCTAAGCATCGCCTGCACTCAATTTGCAGTTTTTTCCCCCCCTTCATAGACAATCTGTTAAATATTTAATAGGAGTGTGGTTTCCATAGCAAAATGATTTATTGCTGGCAGTTTCGATGGGGCTATTTTACTGCTTTCATATTTACTGGAATACCCTGAATTTTTACTATCACTCTGCCTTGCTAAATAATAATAATAATAATAATAAAATAATAATAATAATAATAAAAATAATAATAAAGTCAAATAAAAATAAAACAAGTGCTTTGAGATAGGAAATCGGTCGGTGTATGGATGTATTTTTTTTTTTTTAGATAAACTAAATGTATCCTCATTAAATATCACCAGCAGGCGCTGGTTGCAATTCTGGACATGGGGGTCAGACTGGCTCTAATTTTGGGGTGACAGCACTCACTCTGTGCAGCCTCCCATCACCCTATAGTATTTAGTAACCCAGCTCCAAGCTTGGCTGAGGACCCCCACAACCTTGCATTTAAAAGACCCAGAGTTGAGGAAACATCTCAGGAGCCTTCCTAGTGCAGGGTGGTTATTGGAGGTCGCTGGAGCCAAGCCACCCTCACCCACTCAAATCTCAGGAAGCTTCCTACTACATGAAGTCACCCAAGTGCAGGAGGTCACTGGAGCCAAGCCACCCTCACCCACACAAATCTCAGGATGCTTCCTACTACAGTGAGTCACCCAAGTCCAGGAGGTCCTTGGCGGTCCCAGGACTCAAGCCAACCTCGCCCCAACCACTCACTCACCTGAGGTGAAGAGGACGATGGCTTTGAGGCAGCTGTACTCCGCCGAGTCCACGTGCAGGGCCTTGAGTTTCTCCACCTGCTCCTGGAAGATGCGGATGTGGTCCATGAAGGCCACCACCCGGTCTGCCGACATGGGGGACGCGTGGAGTCCGGCGGCGGCCAGCAGGGGGGCCACGTGGAGGGGCATGGAGCACTGGGCCGCGTTCAGCACAAAGAGCTCGCTCCAGGTGAGCCGAAGAAGGGCCACCTGGTCGGTGATCTGCAGGTCCGGGAAGAAGGGGATGTTCCGGGCCCACTCCACCGCGCTGAACAGCAGGCGGGCGGCCAGCTCGCAGATATTCTCGATGCCCATGATGTTGTTGGGCTGCATGCACTGGCTGCCATAGCGGGAGGTGGGATACGGTTCGGCCCGTAGCAGCAGGGAGATGTAGCCGGACAGGTAGCAGTGGCCGTTCAGGGGGTCCCCGTTGGTCAGGGCGTACTGGCCTGGGTTCGGTTGGGTTGGAGGCATTCGTCCTCGCTGAACCGCTGACAAAAACAAAGAGAAAGGAGAGGAAATGTGCAACCAGGGCAGCAAAAACACACCACTGACACTGACACACAGACTGGGCAACAATGGCATCCGCCTGGCACAATTCTATAAAATTCATGGTTTTATTAACGTGTGTGTGTGTGATTATTTGTGTCTGATTATGTGTGTTCATGTCTCTGTGTGTTTTTGATTATGTGTGCTTATCTGTGTGTGCATGTGGGTACATATATTATTACACACACAACATTCTACATAATATAAATATACATATATAATTATACATACACTTATATTCTGTATCACTATAGGTATATAATAAACATAAGGATGTCTATATACATATATCATTATACATACTATCACTGTATGAGCAGTAGGTATGTAATAACATTAAGGAAGTCTATACTGTATATACATGTGCGTATAGATACAAAAACACATCCACTTATATTTATATATATATTACATAGAACACCTATTAAACACACACACATATTATATATTATATATTTATAGAGAGACATAGATAAATATATTACCAGACACCCACACATATACACATGCACAAATAAAAAAGTACAATAAATAGAAACAATTTATAGGAAGGAACGTGACAGATGCCAAACACACACACAACAACAATGAAACACATTCTCTCTCATTCACTGTGTACAGGGTGAGTCTACTGATATTATCTAAAAATAACAGTAATTATATTTAAAACACGTCCATATCGTGATATATTCTACTCGGGAGTGCCATGCTGCTTGTGTGTGTTAGATCTTTTTTTCCTGCTCAGTGTTGATACTTTGCAAGGCGATTAAAAATATATAGCCTCTAAAATAAAATATACATGTAGCTATAGCTAGATGTATATCATCATGGATATATTTTCTCTGTAGTAGCTTCTGTAATGCAACTTTGTTTTCTAGATTAATTCAACCAAGCAAAAACAGACACACACACACACACATACACAAACAAACACTATGAAAAATATATATATATAATATATATATTTTAAAATTTGAAATAATTTAGAAAAATATGAAAGGGAAACTTACAATAGTTAAACATTCTGAGAAAAAAAGTGCCCAGCAATTTATATTTAAGGCTTAGGCTTCTCGCTTGCTTGTGTAAGCATGCTTTGAGTCTGAAGAATAATGTATCAGCGATGCCAAACACTGTATTCATTATCTCCATGAATGCGAAACGTAAGCATACTTATTTATGGTTGGTTATAGTATAGCTGACCAAAGTGTTTTTTTTTTTTAATGTGTGCTTTTGCATGTGCCTAATACTGTATCTGCCTTGCAAACAAAAATAACTTTAAGATAAAGTTGAATTTTCCTATGTTAATAATGCATTAAAAAAAAATAATATTATAATAATAATTATTATTATTTTTTTTAAATTAAATCATACAATGCACTCTGTCGGCAAGCCTCACCTCTTATTTACCTATAGCTGGATTCCAATAATTATCAGTTATTTTAATTTATGTATGGGGTTTTGGCGATGAGGCTTCTTTTAAACACAGCACACATCAAATATCTACAAAGAAAAATAAAATAATATAAAATTAACAGAAAGGCTCTGCTTGAGATTTGTGTTTTTTTTTTTTGGAACTTTTAATTCTGGTCCCTAACACTCTTATTAAATTAGCTTGGAGATATTTTAGTGCACAATATATTCATGATGATATATTTTAAGGTTTAACTTAGCAAGTGAATTCACTGATACATGTATGTAGTTGTGTTTATATATTCGGCTGATCGATTGCTTAGTTAAGGTCTAAAAGAATTTCCAGCCCATTTTATCCATCAGTAAATAGTGTCAGATAAAAAAAAAATTGCTACACTGTAACTTTAATCTCCAACTGGATACTAGGAGTGAGTGGGTACAAAGCCAATTGGAGACAATATATAGATTCTGTTAATATTCAATGGTTCGTTAATTAAGTTGTATTTTCCCCCCCACATAGTGCTTGCCTTAAAGAGAGGGTGGACATATTTTAAAAACCAGAATAAACAGCAGGAGAATGTAGGGGTAATCAGAAACAAAGTGATCTATAAGGGTTTTCATCCCAAACTTCCCTGTGTCTGTATATTCCTTGTATGTGAGGACATGTGTTTTAACAAGGCCACGTCCCCCCCCCGACCCTCCCTCCTTCCCCCGAACAAGGTTGCAGCAAACTCACAGCATCACTTCTAAAGTTTTTCAAAGGCCCCTGTTTTGAAGAGCCCCATTTAACAAAGTGCTGGAGGGATCTACTGGTTTCATCAACAGGTTTTGTTAGTGACTGAGTGTCTCTGAGTGTGTGTGAGTGTGTGTGTGTGTGTATGTGAGTGTGTGTTTAAATGACAGTAAAGAGGAAAAAAACAGATCGAGGAAGAAGCACATCTAAAGAGGATCAGACAACATCCCACAGCATGCAGCCACACACAAAACACACACACAGAGAGTCTCTATTATTAATATTAATAGCGCCACAATGCAAAACAGGGAGGAGGTAGGGGGTGCACATAAGCAAGTAGAAACAGAAATATGTATATATAAATAAATAAACCTAGAGGTGATATTAATATTTACTCAGACACACCCGTAGTACATCACAACACAACATATACAACTAGAATCAGACCACAACACACACCTAGCACCATAACAAAACACACAACATATACACCTAGAACCATACCACAACACACAGCATATACACCTAGCACCATAACAAAACACACAGCTAGCACCATAACAACACACAGCAAATACACCTAGAACCAGACCATAACATACAACTAGCACTATACCACAACACACAGCATATACACCTAGAACATACCACAACACACACCTAGTACATCACAACACAACATATACACCTAGAACATACCACAACACACACCTAGTACCATAACAAAACACACAACATATACACACACCTAGCAACATACAATACACACCTAGCACCATAACAAAACACACAACATATACACCTAGTACCATACAACAACACATACCTAGTACCAAACCACAACACAACATATACACGGGGCACCATATCACAACACACACCTAGTACCACAACACAACATATATAACTAGTATTACACAATAACACAACATAAACACACCATACTACAATACACATAGCACCATACAACAAAAAACTATACCACACAAACACTTTGCACCAAACACAAATACAATATATACAGCATGCATTATCCAAAGCAAAACACAACACACAGAATACACACCTAGCACCATACCACAACATATACACCTAGTACCACAACATATACACCCAGCACCATACCATACCACGACACAACACATACACCTAGCACCATACACAACATATACACCTAGCACCATACCATACCACAACACAACACACACCAAGCACCATACCACGACACACACCTAGCACCATACCACGACACACACCTAGCACCATACACAACATATACACCTAGTACCACAACATATACACCCAGCACCATACCATACCACGACACAACACATACACCCAGCACCATACCACAACACACACCTAGCACCATACACAACATATACACCTAGTACCACAACATATACACCTAGCACCATACCATACCACAACACAACACACACCAAGCACCATACCACGACACACACCTAGCACCATACCACAACACAACACATACACCTAGCACCATACCACAACATATACATAGTACCATACCATACCACAACATGTACAAACACACACTGAGCACCACACCACAAACACACACTTGGCACAATACACAACACCAACACTAATCACCACAACACATAATGTGGTAGAAGAAATATTCACCTTCCCTCCTCATGCCCACTTTCAGGCACTTCTTGAGCCGGCAGTACTGGCACTGGTTGCGGTGGTGCTGGTCTATGGGGCAGTTCCTGTTGGCCCGGCAGGTGTAAGTTAAGTTCCTGCGGACGCTCCTCTTGAAGAAACTTTTGCAGCCCTCGCAGGTGAATTGTCCGTAGTGCTTCCCGCTGGACTTGTCCCCGCACACCACGCACTCTATGTGCTGCGCGCTCTGCCCCGCGGAACCCTGAGGCTGCTTCTCCCCCGCGGTGCCCGGCGTGGATGGGGGGCCCGGCTGGCTGGGGGTCTGCGGCGTGTGGGGGGCCGCGGAGGGGGCTTGGGTGGGCTCCCTGGCCGGCTGAGCCGCCCCCGGGTTATTGGGGCCCCCGGCCACGTCTTCCTGCGGATCTCTCCAGCTGCTAACTACCATTGCCATATCTCGGGCCCAGAAAGAGCTGGGGAGGGAGGTGATGGCCGGGGTCGGGGGGGGTCTGATTTTGGAGGAGGAGAAGAAGAAGCTGGCTGTCTCTGCCGTGGTTGCCGTTGATGGGAGCCGTTTCCTTAGATTTTTCTTTTTGCAGGGATTTCACCCCCCACCTTCCTCTTATTACAAGAAAAAAAAAATAATAAAAAAATAATAAAAAAAATATTATGTAGAATAAAAAAAAAAATATGGATAAAAAAAATAAAATAATTCTCAGTGCCAACCGATGTATAATTTGTATATATAAAAAGATGCTGAAGTGGCTGGGAGTGTATTTATTTAATTGCTGCTGCTTGCCCCCCTCCCCTTGTGTTGTCTCCCCTTGCCTGTGTTTATTGGTCTCCGGGTTGCAGGCTGTGGCTGGAGGAGGGTGCAGCGTCAGATCAGGCTGGGGAGGTGGCAGGGCTGGCTGCCCCAATTTGCCCAGGGCACGGAGGAGCAGACATAAGGAGGCCAGGGGGAGTGGGGGGTGGGGAGGGCAGCAGGCTCTGGTTGGAGGGCTGCAGCGGTGGGATCCGGGGGGCTGCCGCTGCTCTGCTGAGGGTTTCCTCGGCTGTGCTGCGGCTGAGATCCCTGCTGCACTAGGGCTGAACAGAGAGAGAGAGAGCAGCTGGCCGAGGAAAGGAGGGAGGGAAAAAATAAATAAAAATCTAGAAATATAAAAAAAAAAGAAAAAAGCTGATCAGTGTTTGTAAGTGTCCAGGGGCCAAATCCAGGGTAAAACCCAGCCAGCCATCCAAGGAAAGAACCAGTCCTGTTGGATAGTCTGAGCCAGGAGGTTGCAGGAGATCAGACACTTCCACTCTGCCTCTTTTTATTTTTTTTTCCTTCTTCTTCTCTTTTCTTCTTTTCCTTTTCCTTTTTTTTTTTTCAATTTTATTTTATTTTATTTGTTTTCAATTTTTTTTTTTGTCAAGAGGAAAATAGTCGTACAAGACCTCCATGTGTCATGAGGGAAACAGCAGGAAGAAGTGGGGACAAAATAAATAATTAAATAAATAAATAAAAAATAAATAAATATTGAAAAATAATTGAAGGATCCAAAGTATCAGCAACAACAGCACCAAATATTCTCCTTCTTGTTCCTCAGCTCCTGGCTTTATTCCTTCTGGTGGAAAATGACAACAAGCATCTTACATTCTGTGACCAGGGGAGGGTAAAATCTTTTTTTTTTTTTTTTTTGAAGTCTGTAAAATGAGAAGTCGTTGGGAAAAAAAAGTCAAGAGTGAGAGAGAGACCTCTTGTCCTTCTTGCTTGAAACTGTAGAATTAATGCAGAACTAGTGCAGGCAAATCAGAGATAAAAAAAAAATTATATAAAAAAAATTGTATCTCTCTATCTCTCTCTCTCTATTTTTTTTATATAGACATCTGATGACGAAGCCAGTGGTAGTGTGGATGGTCCTCTGCTGGAATTGTCTATAAAGAAGCAATGGGCTGGAAAAGGAAAAAAAAAAAATTCAAAAAAAATCCAAAGACCCAAAAAATAAAAAAAAATCCACCTAATAGAATATGCAATAAAACACAGAGAGTGTTAGAGAATGGGAGAGAATGGGAGAGAAAGACCCAGTGAAAAAAAATAAATGCGCTTAAACGAGGAGACTTGCAGAGCAATGTTGCTGAGAGGGGGATCTGCGAATAGCTGTATATAGTGAACTTTGACTCTAATATTGAAACTGACACGTTTCTATGGAGATTGCTACCTTATATGGTGTTCATGTCAAGGAGCCAAGAGAGGGACTTCTGGCAGCCACTAATCAAAGGCGACTGACTGGTCAGAGCCCTGAATGAGGGGAGAGGGGGTGGGGGGAGAAAAAATGGGAGGTTAAGGTTAGACAATCCCTCTGCACTGCATTGGCTGAATGGCTCTGGCTTTTTTTCTCTCTCTCTCTCCTCTTTGCCTTGTTACCTAAGGCTGGGGCTGAGAGGAGGGGAGAGAGGGAAATTGGGGAGGGGGGCTGTGACAGGCACACTGTTCATTCACACAGGCCTTGCCTGTCGCTATTTACTTTCAGCCCTGATTAGTATGGGTCGTCTGTGGGGCTGAGCTGAACAAAATCAAATAAAATAAAATAATAAAAAATAAATAAAAATAAATAAATAAATTTAAAAAAAATACACTTTACTTGGGGTGGTGGATTGGAAAATTAGGAGAACTTAGAAAAGATGAGATTAAAAAAAAACAACCAGAAAATCCAAGTTTAACAGTATAAATGACACTTTTAGTAAAATAGTATTAACAGAGTAAAAGCAATAGGATTACAAAATATTAAATAATTATAATAGAAAGAATGCATGAGAATAAAAGTAAAAATAAACAGGACTTGCTAAACCCACAGAACTTGTACAGTGAGGTTGACATTATTGTGGGAACAATACATTTACTGAACCTGGAAGGATATTACTTTTAGTGTGATGGCACTAAAAGAAATATACAAATATTCACATTATTATCTCCTCTCAGAAAAAAAAAAAAAAAGTAAAAAAAAGTTCGGGAAGTGTTAGGAGACATTGTCCAGACAGCAACGTTGTTACCATAATTATTAATGAAACAACGATAAGATTATTTTTTTGTTGTCTGAGATCATTGCTAGTGATACATCCTTTCTATTGCAGAATAGCTGGAGCAGACTGCCATCTAGCGGACAACAGTGGAACACGTCTTTACAATAGAATTTACAAAATGCTTCCCAGAACCAAGGACACAGCAGGACCCCCTCTTTGAAACGCTGCTGGGGGGCTCGTTTAATCTTGGCTCTTTCCAGATGTGCAGACATGAGTGAAAGCTTAAATCTGAGAGTGCGAGTGTCCTCTCCAGACTTTAAAAAAAAAAAAAAAAAAAAAGAACTTTTGAAAATAGAATGTATCAATTTTAAAGCCAGTGCATGAGTGTTTTAATACAATCTGGCTGTCATAGGGTTAAAAATAACCTAAATAATCTAAAACACTATCAAACATTTTATATATATATAAACATAAAATAAATCGACAGGTATATTCATGTTTATTTTTTTTACTTTTCTCAAAATAATGAAATACAAGGTAAAGGCACTATAGGGCATTGAAGTATCCCCCCTACCCTCCAGACATGCTGATTTGGGTTGGGGAAGGTGGGGGTTAGGGGGTGGCAGGCACTGAATCCATTAATGACAGTTTCAGATCACTTCCAGCCGAATAGTTATCGGTTTATTTCTCTCCCGAAATAATAATAAAGAGATCTTTCAATGGGTCCCTGGCCAAGCACCCCTATTGTACAGGCATTGGTAAGAGGGATGGTGTTGACTGTGCAGCAGAGAGAGTCTCTCTCCTTCTCTCCCTCTCTCTCTTCAAATAAACTCTCTCTCCTCCTGTCTTCTGGTCAGTGAAAAGGTGAAACGAATACGATTAAATCAGACATAAAGAGAGCTCTGTCTGTGCATCATTTAGATTTTTACTCCTCTGTGTGAAGAGACGCAGGGGGAAGCTGAGAGGCTAGCTGGACTGGAGAAGGGCAGCCCAGGCAGGAGATCCAAGGCAGGAGAAGGAGCATCTCTTTCTCAAACATCTCCTCAGCGGTAAGTACATCGAAGCATGGGTCTCTGGTTACTTGCTATCTGTAGTTCGCTGCATTTTATGCAGAATTAATATGGCTTATTTGTTTAACCAGTAGTCAATATATTTCCCCTTTTCCAATTTATTTTGGTCTCCATTTTGAGATGTTGCATGTAATATTTGATATATTTATTCTGAATTTTTATTACAAGGGTGTTTGTGCATTTAGCTCAGTGTGATCTGCACCCTGTAGGTGTTTTATTAAGGGAATGGTATATGTTGGGTCAATTAAAAAATGACAAATACCCTACTCAGTTAATGTACTTACTTGGTGTTATTTGGCTTGGAACTTGCCATTTAATCTCAGGTCAATTGTCTAAAGTCCCTCTGTTTTGTGAATCAGCCCCATCTGATGTTTGAGGAGAAATAGTTAATTCTGAATATGTTCCTGAATGTTGTTTGTGTTGTGAGCGGTTCTTGTTGAGGGTGTATGAGGATAACCCAGTATAGAATCTCAGGGTATGGTATTAATGGTCCTGTAATGGGCCTGTATAGAGTATTATATTTTATAACTCTATTTATACATGACCATAATGCAGTGATCTATATAAAGAGCTAATACATGTTAACAGATTGGAGATTAGACCTTAAACAACCCAGTACATAGAAATGTCCATTGCATTCACCTCCTCCTTGCTATTTGGCCAGCTAATTAAAAGATCAATGCCAGTCATTTAATCTATGCGATAGTGTCAGTGAGATGGGGCAGTGAAAGTGACTTAATCAGTAACTGGCATAGAATATTGGGTGTAAATGTAGCTTCCCCTATATAAACACTGTTATATCTCCCTAGCATTCTATTTTTTCCTAGTATCCCCTTGTACGACTACTTACTGCATAGAATTAGAAAATACTGATACAGAGTTAAATTATCCATTGTGCTTTAAGAGTTACAATAGGGTGCAGCGCTAGACTGTCCTCTAACAAACCATTAAAGCATTAAATTATTATAATGTCATCTAACATGTTTTGCCTCGATTTGAGGAGCCCAATGCAACCTATTTAAATAATAATAATAAAAAAAATGCTAAACTAATCCCAAGCTTCTCATTTGCATGGCTAACCCCTCTTAAAGGAATAGAGTCAGTGTTATTAAATAAATACTATCCTGTTCTCTGTAGGGATGGTGGGGCTCCCCAGATATTATTTACTGTGTACAGATCCACGGGGATCTCCTTTAAAGGGATATCTTGTGAAATGATCTTATTAGTTGTTGGTCCTTAACGGGAATGTAAAGACTAATCCTCAAATCAGCTAGGATTAAACATCAACAACCCAAGTCAATCCATTTATATATATATAACTTGTCATTGGCTAGTATCAGGCACAATTTAATAACTACTTGATGTGGATTACAGAGGTTTATACTATTGAACAAATAACCTCAAATCCTAGTGTTTAGCACAGAGTAGAGATTCATGGATAATTCATCAGTGAGACTATGAATCATATTTTGTTTGTCGAAGTCATAATATTATTAACACTGCAAAAACAAACGAGGTTTTAATAAAAGTGTAAGGTGTAATCATGTATATATTTATTTACATATAGTTATAGTTTCAGTAATTGAAGAGAATATTGTGTTTTATTGTCACGTTTCAAATCATTAATAAATAGCTGGAAACTTGTATTTAATCCCTCAATGTAAAATGTATATTGTTGACATCAGAATTCTGAGTATTGGGGTTTGCTTGAATAATCATTTTATTAATCGTGGATATGATTATATAATTTCAGAACACACTTCAAATTGGATTATCAACATCCACTGATCTGCAGGATGTAACTGATTCAGCTTAGTACAATGTGTAAGTATAAATGTAGGAGTTTTGCACATTAAGGTAAAGTTGGGGAATGTATGAAAAAAAGCATTATGGAGAATAAATAATCAAATAATTTTATATTAAAATCATGATTACATTTTCTGTATCTTTTGACGCAGCAAGAGAATGTATATGATATTTAAAAGCAATTTTTGTAAGGGAATAAAGGAGGGATTATAGCTTTTACATTTTGTGCAATCTGCATTTTTTATTCTAAATAGGTTCTGACAAAATGAGGCCTTCCTGTAGTCATAAACATCACAAAACATCTAAAAATGCTATTAAATTAGGTAATGTTAGTTTGTTCGTGCAATAGAACGTGCTGGTCTCTGGACAGCTGATAGAACTCAGTTTGTAGACAATGTAACAAAGCAGCATTGAAAAATCAGCATTAAAGGCGTCTTAATCCATTTAGACATTTAATAAAACTGTACAAAACCACTGCAGACTTGCTAAGAGTTTTGGAATCAGTTTTAAGGTTTCTCATCATTTTTTTTTTCCAACTTTTGTCAAAATCTACTGCTTTGCAATTTAGGAGAAAATATATTACACGTTGAAATAACGTGCAAATGAATATTTATTTCCAATGATAGTGAAAATTAAAGTGACAGCATTGCTTCTTCAATCATGTTAAACAAATCGTTCAGATGCAAAATTCTCTATTAATTTGGATTTGTAGATTTGATTGTCTACCTTTCAGCATCCCTTCAAACTCTTAAATGTACAGAGAAAAAGTTTAGTTTAAAAAAAAAAAAAAAACAACAAAAAAATTAAATTAAAATTTAGATGAGGTTCCTTTAACTGTACAAATAATCCAGAGAATTACTTAGAATGTTGAACTTTGTGCAGAGCTACTGTATATGTGGTTGCCATTCGAGTGTTAAACTGTGATGCATGTCCCACTCTCAGGCAGTCAGAGGGTTAACTAATTGCTCTGGGCGGTGTGAAAGTTCTGTGAGACCATTTAACCCTTGCAGGAATTCTGAGAGGCTGAAAGGGAGAGGGGTTTTATTGTAAGAGCCGAGGTCTATTCTACACTCAGGTTGTGTGAAAAGGGCTTAAAGGTCACTTTAAATTCTCTTTTATCTTCTCCTATTTTCTCTCTGGATCAGCAACTCTGAAAGGACACATCTTATCGCCCCTAATGGAAAGAGAGTGGAACAAAATAAAATGCCCCTTTTCTTTATATTACACAAATGCAACTATACAATAAATTATATTATACACTATTCAGCAATCCCACACAAAAAGTAGATAGATTTAACACTTTTTACACTGAGAGTCTGACAGCGTATTAATCAATCTGAGATAGAAATTAATAAAAATAAAATTAATAGCACATGTCCATACATTATGATTCACATTTTCCCAAGTTAAACTCTTTGCTAATTCGATTTTACTTTGTTAACATTATGGAGTGTGTTCCATAAACTGTGAATTGCAAGGGTTAAGAAGCGAATTGTAAACTACAGGCAATAAATATTCTGATTCGCTTGTTTGTTATAACATAACATTTTGGAATACGATTTTCGAATCACTGCAATTCGCTGTTTAGTGAATACATACCTGCATTTCTGAGAAATTATTAGAAAAGTCTAAATTCTTCAATCTGTTACAGATTTTTCTACATGCACATTGAATTAAAATACAGTCATCTAATTCTAAGTAAGGGTTCCTTAAGAGAGAATAATTAATTTAATTAATCAAATAAAACAAAATGAAAATATCAGTTTTAGAATTATCCCAGATTTTATTTTATATATACATTAGGCGTTGAAAGGTGATTTTAAAAACTAAATTAAATCGGTTTACAAAATCTTAGAGCACGTATTTATCCTCTTCTGGATCTGAAGAGTAAGGAGGACATGTCTACTGATGTATAAAGACTTTTTGTCCCCCAGATACATCTTTAGCTAATTACTTTATAACTTAACAACTTAAGAACCAGTTTCTACAGTTTAACCCTTTGGGCAGCAGTTACTACTCTTTGTAAACATTTGTCAATGTGAACGCAAGGCTGATGATAAAATAATAATAATAATATATATTAAACTGGGTTTAAAATCAATATGTTTACATTCACAGTCCCATGTCCCATATTACAATGCACATAACACTGGGAAGGTAGACGTTTAAGCGTTTTAATAATTTGAGAAAGGTTAAATTAGTTAGAAATCTCATCTTTTAAACAGAGGTGGATCTTATCAAAAGTCTCAAAACCCATTTTTTTTTTAAACTTACTGATTTCATTTACAAAACTATGAAATACTACCAGTTCACAGAGAGTTTTATAAGTAAACCCTAAAAATTACAGTTTTCTAATCATTAACCTGGGCTAAATCTCAGGCACTTTTCATTTACTAATGGTAAAAACGAGGTCCAGAAAGGAATGTTAAAAATAAATAAAATTGCCTAAAATACGTTGCAAAAGAGCAAAATCAGGACGTACTTGTAAATCAGAGTAATGTGAATGTACCCTACCTGCTTAAATACCTTGTTATTAATATTATTATTATTATTATTATTGTCAATGTTAAATCTTCACAATACATTATATTGCTCAATATTTTGTCACGTCACAACCAACAATCTACAAAAAAGCTACTTCAACTGGACACACAATTCCCTCTCCCCCAATAAAAAAAGAAATGTTTGTCCTTTGAGAAGATTAGTTTTTTTTTTAAACCTTTATACTAAAACTGATGTCAAGTTATACTCTCTTGCCCAAAAACAGACAAATACACTGTATACAGTCAGTAAGTCAACATGTATCTCATTCTGATGTTGAATGAGGTAGATATCTCCCCCAGAAAAAAACAAAACAAAACAAAAACAAAACAACAACAACAAAATTTACCAAACAAAACAAAATAAACACACAAAAAATAAACACACAGAAAGCTGAAGTTTTTTCAATATCTCGGTTCTGCTTGGCGATATGTTTGTGTAAATGGAAATGTACAGATTAGCATGAAACCAGCTAGTTGGGGTTGTAGTGGTTTTAGCAAGACTAATTGGAGACAATAGAGATAAAATGACTTGTCCAATTAGCAGCCGCTTACAGTTTAGTTGGAGGACGTGTCAGCCCCAGCGATGGATAATTGCTTTATTGCTCACAAAACTATCATCTCCTTAGAGCACATATACTAATTACTTCAGATGGCCATAGGAACTGAACGAGTCTATTAGCCTGTAAAAGGTATATGGTGCTTCTACAACACAGAGGAGGGCTCTATTCATGGCCAAATATGTCAATTTACTCAGGAGTTTTATGGTAACTTTAGGTCATGTCACCAAATAGTGTGCTGGGGATATGTTTGTTTAAGTTAACAGACCTCGTCTTCCTTTCTACTTGCATACCCAGTGGGTGATACTTAGGAGACCTTAAATAATTAACTATTTGAATGACAGGGAGAAGGGATAGTCATCAGGTTACTTTGCTCCACCTGATACCAACTAGACTTTCATTCATACCCTAAGGGATCTCCCCCCTTTGATCTCTCTCTTCTCTCTGTTATATCATATTCTCACACTGGTTATGAAGCCTTAAATAGTTCAGACAGTTACTAAGAATAGGCAGTCTTTGCAACAAGTGCAGGTATGGACTTTAACTCCTGCTCTGCTTGGCCAGCTGATTTGTTGGTTAAGGCTAAGGGAGTTGTATGTGATACTGTAGCTGGTGCAACATAAATGATATTTTAGTACCAACCTGGCAATCAAAGGGTTAATAGCCTGAAATGTGATTTATTTATTGTACACCCAGCATAGAGCTGTCTGAAGCAGCTTGGGTAAGTGGAAATGAAATGGTTACATTTAGTAAAATTGCACACTGCTGTCAAAGCATAGCCCGGTAACTGAAGGGTTAATTGCAAGAGGTGGATTCTGGGCTTGAAACAGTGTATCTCTCAATAACCCAGGAGGCAGACATACAGTTTTTATTGTCTAAAAAAAAGTAAAATGTAATTAACCCCCTGAGTGAGTTGGCACTGAATGTGTTAATAGTTCAGACTGTATTGAGACTGTGCAGAGTGAGACAAAGCAGCCAGCACCTCAATCCTCTCTAAAGATCACCCTGGCTGCTTACTGCCATCCACATGCAGAGTCAGCCCATGTGATCTGCAGACAGACAGGTAGGTGCACATAGAGAGAAGGGCCCCAACCTCAGGTGTCTAAGTGCTGAACTAGTGAGAATGGGAAGGAGGAAACAGGCTCATTGTCAACTAGGGGGATCAAGCTATTCACTGTCAGAAAATACTGCATTCCACTCCAGATGCACTCAGTCCTCTATAATCTATTTTCTCACTTCAATACAAGTATTCTTGGCTATGCTGCGTGTCCTCAGAGAAGTACAGAGTATTTTATCCAATTCAGTTCTAAGGGGTGTCCAGTGGGGTAAAGGGTGTATGAAGAAAGATGGAGAGATAGACAGACAGAATGAACTGCAGTCTCAGTACCTGCTGGCTGACTGTGATCACACCCTGCAGTTATAAAGCTGATTTATTTTATTTTAGGTAACACACTCTCTATTAGCAGAAAATCTCCCCCTAACAGACCAGACAGTAAAGTGACAGTGACTATATGCCAATGTTAGTGTCATTTTCACTAATGCAATCCAAGCATTATGAAATATTGTCACATTATTCATTGATGAAGAAAGTGTTGTGATCACCTTATATATTGAGTCCAGTTTGGAATATTTCGATTTATTAACCAGATCCAGACAGGAATGTGAGGGAAGGTTCTGGGTGTACCTCAGGGAGAAGTTTAATTTTCCATGACTTCCTTTCTAATAAACTCTATGGGAAGACTCAGATTGAATTACTCTTTGATAATTTAATCCATTCATGTTTTTAACTACATACCCAAATCATTTGTAGTGACTGGTGTTGTAGTAGAGATGCCAGAAACTCCACATTTATCTGGATACTTATCAACATCCATACATCCAGATGTGCAGTACATGAAGTATGCTGCCTTGTTATAGATAAAACTCATACAGTGTGAAAGTGAAATAAAGTCCTCGATCAAAAGGGCACAGAAAAGTTTCGCTAATTCAACATACTACAGGGGAGTACTTTTCATGCACTGCTCATCAGCAGGAAGACAAGATATTTATTAAAGGAATAATTTCAATATTTTTTAAATCTATCAATCATCATCTTACTAAATATATTTAAGTTTTTCTACAGAATTAGTTGGTGCTATATAAATACAAATAATATTAATATTAGTGACATGGTTTTACCACAGCTGGCAAAATATTTGGCAAAAATGATTATTTTTATAGGACATTCTAAGTTGTTGCTGTTTAATCCTTTGATTAGCAGTGATAACAGTAAGCACCTTGTTGCAATGCATACATGGATCTGTATCACTGCCTTTTCCATATAATTGTGCATTGTCAATATTTATTAAAAAAATTAATAAATACATTTACATAATGCAGACATAAAATTTGTCTCTTTTCATTATAAAAAACTGAGGCATTATTAAGCATAAATGGTACGCATTTCCTTTTTTGTGGGTGTGACAGACTTGTTCTTGGCCTAAAATTTTATTTTTTATGAAATTTTTTATGTTGGGCAAATCCGTTTTCATCCATGTGGAGTTTAGTGAATTTCGTACATATTATAAGAATAATTAAAGATTGTGTATATACTTTGCAGTTCACTCATAGGTGCATTTTTGCGCCATTTGGTTCCTAGATCAAATGCGAAGAATTACAATTATTTATATAGCGCCAACAGATTCTGCAGCGCTGTACAATAAGTAAACAAAAAATCACTAAATTCCAACAAAACATGACTGACATACTGGAACAATAGATGAAGAGGGCCCTGCCAAAACAGGCTTACAATCTAAAAAAATCTCTATATATTATATATTTATTAAATATATAATATATAACTATAGATTTTTCATTTTTTCTTAAGGCTTCTCCCTTTTCCCATCTTTGGTCACTTCTCAACCGATTTGTGAATAAAATCAACATTTAGTGGCTTCCCTAGCCCAGTGTTTCTTAACCTTTTTACGCAGAAGTACCCATGCATGTCAACAAAACATTTCTAAATACCCCTGCTCTTAGAAAGTAATATTTATTGATTTAGACTCCAAATGAAATATGTAGACACTGATATTTAAGTTAATTCCGTATATGAGAACAAGCCTGATTAAAGGTAGTAAAGATTTTTAAAAAATAAATATGACATAATGTGAATATTGTGTATGTAAGGAGGACTGTATAATCTGAAGTATAACATTCACAAAATGAAAATATAATACACGCATAATAGCTACACACAGAAGACACTGGTACTTGCACAGACTTGCACACAGAGGGCATTGACACACACACACAATACACAGAGAAACACACACACACACACTCTCTCTCTCTCTCTACAGAGAAACTGACACACACACACATTTACACTAAGTGGTCACTGACATACACACATTTATACACAGAGGAAATTGACACACATACACTGACAGAAATACTCTTACTGATTTGGAACACACTGACAGATACACTTAGTGACACACACTCATATGCTAACAGACACACTCACTGATTTGACACACACTGACATACATTCTTACTGATTTGACAGACATTGACAGACACTAACTAACAGACACATTTACTGACATACACACACACTCACTAACAGACACATTCACTGACAGACACACACTCACTGGTTTGACACACACTGACAGACACATTTACTGATACATACACTTTCTGACAGACACACCCACTTATTTGACAAACACAGAAACACTAACAAATTCACTGACAGATACCCACACTCACTGACACACACTGGTCACTGATTTGACACACACTGTCAGACACACACACATTCACTGACAGACACATACACATTTTCTCACACACACTCACAAATGATTATTTTCTAAAATTATTTTTAAGTCCACCCTCCTTAACTTTGAGAGAGCTGGAGTGGATCCTCTCCTTGGTGTCCAGTGGGGATCCTTCCCCTGGGGTACTTTGAGGATCATTTCCCTGGGGTGTGGTGGGGATCCTTTCCCTGGGGTCCAATGAGGATCCTTCCCCTGGGGTACTGTGAGGTGTAATATTCATGCTTTTCCAGCACAGCTCCCTTGCATGCTATTAAGTGATGCAGGGGTGGAAGTGACATAATAACCTAGCTCCCGGCATCACCGCAGGGCATGAGAGGGAGCAGTGTTGGAAGAGTGCAGACATCAGCGCTCCCTCACTGGGTAAGCAGATGCCGACTATGCCTAAGTGTACAGCCAGCCGCCTTCCAGGGGCCCTATGGTGGCCAGCCAGCTGGCGGCATAGCCCCTGCTTATGGTACGTGTGCCCCCTGGGGTACGCGTACCAAAGTTTGAAAACCTTTTTGTTTTAAAATCACAGTCAGTACTCTGAATCATGAAACAAGCAATGCACCTCTTCCATTGCCCATTTTGTTTTCATCCATATCGCATTATGGGTTGGCAGAATTTGGACAAATCGCAAATCGAACAAAATTTCCTGTATTGCGATTCATTTGAAGTGAGTGCACAAGTCCAGTGATCAGAGTTCTTTGCAAAATTGCTTCACACCATCAATACTTAGTGAAACAAGGAGGGCAGGAAAATGGCAAATACTCCATAAAACAAGTCTCTTGGGTTTATTCACTAGTTCTGGTGTATTTTGTGAGATACATATATTTTATATTTCCCTTTAACGTTGGTCTGCAAATGGGATATGTGTCCTGTAGGGGGTGATAGTGAGGAAGTACTGACTTATCTACTGTCATCAAAAATAAAGATTGACAATTTTATGGATAGAAGCCTAAATTCCATAAATCAGGAAAAGGCCTCGGAAATCACTTACACCAACCCATAGTTTATCTGACATACACCAGTTGCGCCGAAGTCAATGCTTGTTGAATAGCATTTATTCTCTAAACTCTGAATTGTGGTGAATTGAAAACTCCAACTTTTAGGTTAATAATTCTTCAACTTATCAACAGTTACAGCTCGGCTATTTTAGTCTTGGTTTGTAACATTCTAGAATGAAACTTTTTTAACGTAGCTATAGCAGAACTGTATGGAGCTGTGAATACAGCGTTTGCAGGATATTTATAAGCTGATATATAACCACATTGTAATGGTGGCATGAAGGTTAATAAAAAAAAAGATTCTAACTTTATGATCACTGTATTATAACCATCATATGTACAGCACGTTATCAAAACATGTATTCATTTTGTTTACACAAGGCTAGATCCTTGTAGTTTGGAAGATAGTAAATTTGTTCTCGTGTTTTTTGTTATTATCGGTGCCTCTTAACTTTTACATTTAAAAAAATAATTAATAAAAAAGTGTGAATTGGAGCTAAAACAATTCATACATATTTAATTATTTTATTCCCCTTCCCCGGCTTGCTGCTGATTTGTCTGTTCAGAATATGAAAACAATTGCAGATATTTTCCTTTTGAATATTACCGGAATTAAAGTGCACTAATCCAGAATGACATGCCAAATTTATCCACTGTGTAATTCTGAATACGGCAGTAAGAAATAATTTTACATTAATGTACATACATTGTTGCAAGATAAATCATTGGTGCTTCTATTAATTTTGTTGTCTGAGTGCCTCTCAAGGAGAAGAATACATTATAATTTGACTGGATGTTTTTCAGCATTAAAAAAAAAAAAAAAAGGAAAGCTAATGGAAGTCCGTCGACAAATATGAATAAAATATGAGGGATGAGGATGTTCACATACTCTTTGTAAATGGCAATATGTGTTTGAATCAGAGAATAGAATGTAACGTAAAAACAAGTGTCCTTAACACGACGAGCTACTTATAAGAATGGCGAGGTCAAATTCTCTGCATAAACGTTCGAAATTCGGTGCCTTAGCACAACATGTGAAGTAGTGAACGACAAAAATGTCAAGTTTATTTGTTACTGCCATTTATAGAAAGGGTTTGTTAAATATCACAATACATTTATAATGGCGATATAACCTTGGATAAAGCAATGCTAAGTGTAAATTTTCAATGCATGCATTTCTTATGCTAGACATGCAATTTGTTTACAATTTTGTACATTGTTTATTGTTATTGTTGTGTTTGTTTTACTTTTCTTTTTTTGAAAGACTTTTAATTTAGTTTTCAACGTAAAAAAAAAAAAAAAGTACTTCATGGAGTTTTATAAAAACGTGAGGATGACCTAAAGGCTACAGACCCCCAGAGCAAAAAGGAGGGGAGGGGAGAAATCTGGAAAATCTATTCTGTATGGTTTTTTTTTTCCGCCTACAGTAAAGGAGTTGGACCTTGTTGCGCCAATATGGACGTTTATGAAATTACCCTTGACTAGGTATGGAAATCAAGTGGCTGGTGAGTATTTTACATGGCAAGATTTATTAACCCAAGGCAAATATTTTTGTAAGGAGCTAGTTCAATTGCTAGGCTTTCATTAAACCTAATCCCAATTCCACATCATGTCAAATTATATGTATGTATTATAGTAATATATTACTATTAAAGAAACAGAGCGGAGAAGTGTAAACAATCTGGATAGAAATGTATATTGCTTTTATTACCATTTATTAATCACTAATACATTTCTCAGAGCTGTATTGTGTCTAACCCATCATGCATTTTTGCTTTGGAGATCGGAGCGGCATAAAGATTCTTTGCCTGGGAGCAAAAGATGCAAATCTGGCAATTTACCATATTTGTTCAGCAAATCCAGTCTGTCCCTCTAATAGGTTGAAGCAGCCCGCCGAGCACCTACATATTTGTGGAATTAGGTTATACTTAGTTATGCTGGTGTTTTTCTTCATAATCCTTTTTAGTGGTTACAAATAGTTATTAGATTTAAGCCTTAGCCGCCTTGACCTAACTCACAGACCATCTTGCAGTTTTCCCTTTTTTTCTCCAAAAGTATCACTGTACTTGTAGACTTATTACGAGGCAGCTGATTGTACTACGACTCTCGGAAGCTCTTGCTGTACCCACAAACCACTGCTAATGGGAAAAAGCTCAACAGTGCTACAGAAAGTATAAGTATTCACCACTTGCTGTTTTGGCAAACGCTTATTGAAAATCTTATACAAAAAAAACCTGGAGTAGAAAATACAAGGACCTTAAATATCTTTTTTTGTAAATTTTTTTTTATTTTTAATTTACTGCTTTGCATATTTTTAAATATAATGCATTTAAAAAGCATGGATCAAATCCACCATAGAGGAAGCCTATAAACCATTATTTTCTACATAACGTTTTCCTATCAGTTACTGGATACCTGAAGGAACACCCCTAGCGCCATAGCCAGCACATTATAGTAGTTATGGTGCCAAGAGAGCCCTGGAACGCTCCCACTGTAAGGACTGAAAACATTTTTAGTTTGACTTACCAGGCCTACCAGGCCTTCTACGCTACCAATGCTGGAGACCACAAAGTTCAAATACAAGGCTTAGCTCACTGGCCAACTGTCAAACCCTCCCACCCACTGAAAATAGATGGAGCAGTTGTACCAAAAAAGCGAAAACTTTATTGTTAAATTTTGCAAATAATATACATTGCATTTTACATGCTTTTTTTCCTTATTCTTGTTTAATCTAGAGCAGTGATGACCTCACACAATTAACAGGAGAAATAACTTTGTTGAGAACTTAGAATAACATCGAGGTAAGGGGTAAAACAGGAACTATGCTAGTTACTGTACAGGTTTTTGAATCCATTTGTTCCACTCCATCCTGTTACTGATGTGTTTTTGTGTTTTTCCTTTTTGTTGTATCCTTAAAGGAACGCTATAGTCACCTAAATTACCTTAGCTAAATAAAGCAGTTTTAGTGTATAGATCATTCCCCTGCAATTTCACTGCTCAATTCACTGTCATTTAGGAGTTAAATCACTTTGTTTCTGTTTATGCAGCCCTAGCCACACCTCCCCTGGCTATGATTGACAGAGCCTGCATGAAAAAAAAACTGGTTTCACTTTCAAACAGATGTAATTTACCTTAAATAATTGTATCTCAATCTCTAAATTGAACTTTAATCACATACAGGAGGCTCTTGCAGGGTCTAGCAAGCTATTAACATAGCAGGGGATAAGAAAATCTTAATTAAACAGAACTTGCAATAAAGAAAGCCTAAATAGGGCTCTGTTTACAGGAAGTGTTTATGGAAGGCTGTGCAAGTCACATGCAGGGAGGTGTGACTAGGGTTCATAAACAAAGGGATTTAACTCCTAAATGGCAGAGGATTGAGCAGTGAGGCTGCAGGGGCATGTTCTATACACCAAAACTGCTTCATTAAGCTAAAGTTGTTCAGGTGACTATAATGTCCCTTTAAAGACTTTATTAGTTGTAAGAAGTGTTGTGCTCCCCTGCTGGGAAGTGGGCACATCTTACAGAGGTGGAATTTGGATCCAATGTCCGTTGTGCAGTTTGTATTTATGTCCAGTACTAAAGGAGCTGACTTAATATTGGCCATTGATAGTCCACAGGTGGTATTTGTTCTGAATGGGAGGAGGACAAAACAAACACTAGAAGGACATTTTGTAGTTTTATTTACATAGGAAAAAGAAACAGATTTGCCAAGCTCTCTTTGTTCTCATATCATCCAGTGAGGTGGGTGAATATATTCTTGAATCAAAATCATGAGAAATCTTCAAATATCATCGAGAAGAGAATCTGGATCTATTCTTTCATTTCTTCTAAAGTTACTATAGAACCAGACAAGCTTCTAGGAAGGGGCTTGGTGGAGGGGCATCAAAAGGCCTTAAAGTTTGATATTAGCCGTTACAGTCTAACTAATATAGTGTTTGGCAATTGACATATCTGATTTAAGTGTCAAAATAATGTGTTTTCCTTTTTTCTTACAGCCTTTGGAAACTGTTGAACAGAGATAGGATGCAATGAATGGACAACTGGTGGAACTTTGCCCTTTTCAACGTTACAGGGAGTAGCTGACTCATATCATCAGTGGAGGTTACCCTGGGTATATTTATGTGTGTTTTATAAAAAGTAAGCCATCTAAAACATGACACAGTATATCAGTTAGGTTGAATGTTGTTTTAGTTCATTATGTGTCAAGTAATGAAAAATGCCCAAAATGAACATTAACAACCATATAAAAAATTTAAACCACCATAAATATTTGGTAACATATAAGGCAAAGTTATCAACAGCAATTTAGATTTATAGTGCTCTAAATGAAGTTATCAAGTTGAAATCAACGCAATGCCCCTTATTTAGCACTTTGTTCTATAATTCTGTTTCTCATCTGTTTTTAAATAATAACGGCATAGATATGAAAAGGTATAGACCTAAGTACTAAGATATTACTGATCCTGGCGATAAAGAGTCACTGGTTGATGAGCCGACAGTGAGTGTAGGAACCATGGGATATAGGATATCTCTAGAAGCCAGGAGAGGGTTACATCGACAAAACCAAAAATGATTTAACTAATGATTTGATTTAATTGAGCAGTGAAATTACAAGGGCCCGATCTATATACCAAAACTGCTTCATTAAGTTAAAGCTGTTCTGGTGTTTAGTTTATCCCTTTAATATATTCTTCAAAAGTGGATCTCTGATAATTATGAAAGGCCGTCCCTGACACACTTTCTTTGGTTCCTACACCGATTCTTACAGTGCATTGGCTACATCAAAAGAAGAAAAACTACCACAACAAGAGGACATAGTCTTAAATTAGAGGGGCAAAGGTTTAAAAATAATATCAGGAAGTATTACTTTACTGAGAGAGTAGTGGATGCATGGAATAGCCTTCCAGCTGAAGTGGTAGAGGTTAACATAGTACAGGACTTTAAGCATGAGTGGGATAGGCATAAGGCTATCCTAACTATAAGATAAGGCCAGGGACTAATGAAAGTATTTAGAAAATTGGGCAGACTAGATGGGCCGAATGGTTCTTATCTGCTGTCACATTCCATGTTTCTATGTTTCTAACAAACTCTACTGTTGTAGCTACCGCAGCCACTTACTGAATAGATCTTTAATTTGCTGGTATTAGGAGACCTAGTTACATACAAATGATGCAATAACTTTTCAACTTTCCCTTTATTTTATTTTCCAGGTTTCTAGTGACTTGTAGGTTAAACATTGTATAAGACTTGTGCCTCCCAGTTCCATTGAAGATTTGTAAACAAGGGATTACCCATGTCTTGTAAGACTGTGATTTCAAATTCTCTAACGTTTTTTTTATTTTATATCATTCTTAAGTTTTGTTTTAGACTTCCACACATACTTCCTTATAGACTAACTGTCCACACCTATTTCATGAAAGGTAGGAGAACAACATATTCTTCCCTTTTTGTCTTTAATAAAAATGATCTTACTTCTTTCTGTTACTCTAGAAGACATCTTTAGGTGAGCTTGGAAAATTGGGAAATATTACTTCTGATGAATATATACAGAGCTCTAAATGAGTAAAATCGTTGTTAGTGGTGATATAACCCGAGGGTGGTTCAAGTTAAGTCCTTAAGAGCTGAAGACGAAATTAGGCTTTTTAGATAATTCTGCATTCACAAACCATACAACAACCTGTAAGATGCCTATTGTTATTTTGCAATAAAGAGACATACCAATTAGGTGCAATGAGTTGGTTAGATTACAGATTGTTATGTTTGGTATTTTTTTTTAAATTAATCTTCTTTAGTTTTATTAACAAATAACTTTTTTATTTACTCCATAATTTAACTCTTTTTGCCTCACCCTCCAAACCTGCAGGGTATTACTTTTGCTCCAAAAATAATGCTTAACAGGTCATGCGGTTCCTGAGAACTTGAGTTCCACTGACAATCCACTATAACTTCCAGAAACCCTTGCAATGCCCAGAAAGTGCTGCCTGCGGTGAAAACTGAGTAGTACTACAGAAAATTAAGTGAGAATGTTTGGATTAGCCAGGAGATCATGACTAGTGATGACATCCAGTGGTGGATGGGAGCTGTGGCAAAGAGATTGTCCCGTCAGTGGATTAGAGCTAAGTAATAGATTTTTTTACTAGAATAGGATGCTCAGAATTCCAAACCTACCTTTGAACACTCCTTCATCATATATATTTATTTGTAATGCTGGAATGTTTCTAGAGAGTGCAAGCTTGTTTGGCTAGGGCCCTCTTCACCTGCTGTCGCTGCGTGCCATACATATTTTGTCAAAATTACATGTTTGTCTTTGTTCCTATTGGTCAGCAATGCAGAATAGGTTAGCACTATATAAATAATTGTAATTGTTAATATACTAGCTATTACATTAGTTGGTTTGAGTATTTGTCCAAATCTGCAATTTTTTACTTCATTTTGCAGTTTGGTTGTCGGTTAATATTATTATTATTATTATTATTATTATTATTGGCATTTATATAGCACCAGCTTATTACACCGTTCTTTACAATATTATTAAGGTGGGATTTAACAAGAAGTGAGACACACGATTACAATTCTTGATAGGAACAACAGGTTGATGAGTACCCTACTTAACAAGCCTACGATCTAGAGATGGGTGTTTAATGTAAAAAAACAATAATCATTTTATCTTTATGAAGACATTACTGTTAGCAGTATTATAAGGACAGTGCCTAGACACAGAGACAAATGGAACATTTTAAGAGGATTGTATTTATTGCATTAGATTGTATAGATAACTAGAGTAGAGAGGAGGAGGCTTCCCGATCGGCTGCTTTGATCCCTCTTCAGCATAGCAATGGATGCATATTACCTGAATATTGTTGTTCTTGCTATTTCAGTGAAAGTTGTAAAAAAAAAATAAAAAAAAAAATATATATAAAAATAATATAGACCAGCGGTTAGGAATGAAAACTTTACTAGAATGATGGATGTTGCATGAAATGTTATTTGTCATTTCTTATAGAAATAATCACACAACGTCAGCTGTGTGAATTGTACAGTGAATGGGCTTTAAGTTGTAATTGTCCCGGAACACTTCTGTTACAAATAATCTGCCCGTTTAGAGGAAATGAACAGGAAACAAAAACCTCACAAATGGCATAATTTTGGTGTTCATTACAAGAAGATGGTCTCCCCCCAAAATTATAACTTGCTTGCTGAGCGCCTCCACTGATTTAATTCAGTATTGTCTCACAATGACTCCCTAGAAATGTATAGACTACATTTCCGATGATGCTCAGCTAGTGTTCAACCCCTTTATACTTTTAATTCTTCAATCTCCTTTTGCACGATGGACATTCCTTTATTCATGGTGAATGCACTTACAAGCACCATCAACTTGCTTGGTCTAACACTTTATCATTAAACATTTTGGTTAACAGACAAAAGTACATTGTAACTTTTCCTTAATCATTCATACTTTGTGAATGCTACATTCAAATATACATGTATAAAATTAGTTTAATCATAAACTATTGATTGTTCTATATCGGACATCTCTATCTTTCTGTTTTGAATCCCAAATATTGACTGGGAGTACTTGTCTACCGAATTTATTACTGTAGCGGTAGCTACACTTATTTATTCGTTCCCAATGTCTGCCTGACTCCGGACCAGACATTGTTTAAATTACTTTAAAGAACTAAAGAGCCCATTCATAACCCATAATATAAATAGAATTTTCCTTGAGAATTCATCACCCCAGTTTTTTCTAAAAAGGTATGGCAATTGTATTCTCAAAATACCCCTCCCCCCAACCTACTATTGTAAGGAATGTTTATGAGATATACTAAAATGATTTACTTACTCATTCACATGCATTTATTTTGTGAACATGAACATTTTACATTAATGTCATTGTTCAATAGAAAAACAATTGAATCATGTTTCATGCGGTGCTTTTTTAAAAATAGTTTGAATCAAAATGCTGCCACTAAGGCTAGGATTTAAAAAAATAAATAAATAAAATAAAATGACTGTTAAATGGCGGTTAATGTCTTGCTTTTTAAAGTTTTTATTTTTCCCCATGATATTCTTTAGCGCTGCACAAAAGATAGAAACAACATAAATGGCAGTACAATAATTGTTTGTTCACTGGAATAAAAAGCACTAAATCAGGCACAGATCCTGATCTAATGACCCAAGATATGTATTTTTTATATAACTTACTTGCGTTGATCAAATTTTCTTTAAGTATACTTGCAATGCTTTAATTACAATCTACTCCAAATAAAAATGGTATATTTTACGGAATGTGAACAGGGTGAACTAAAGCTGCAGATGGCTTTGACATTCCCCACTTTCTCTCATCAGAGATCTTCTACTTATATGGTTATTTAAATAATCTAAGCACCCTAACCACTAGAGCTCATACTAGTGATTATGGTGCAATAAGGTTTTGGATACTGCTTCCAATTTTTTTTTATCAAAACATTTTTGAGTGGACAAAAAAGGGGCTCTCTTGACACCTAGAGCTTGACCTCTCTTCTGTGACTTGGATAATCTGAATTGTTTGTCCAAATGTGTCTACGACCTTGGACAGCAATGATTGACTGTGAATGGATAACCTGCTTCCAGCCTATCAAGGCACTCCTAAGTTGAAATTGGTTTGTATTTTTTAAAGTGGTGCTACCTCCTCCTCTATTTAGAGTTTTAAGTTTCCATCTATTTCTTCCCACTTCAGAGAGGATTAGCTGCAGAAGGTGCATACAGGCCTCTGCAGATCATTATCAGACGCTTCCCATTCACAATGGTGACAGGACGGAGAACCCTTTCAGCCAGGAGAGAACTAATCTCTTTGTTCCTGACAGAGCCACTCAAGAGTGTGGTGAAATTAAAAAGAAAACAACTGACACGATTTAACTGCCAAGAAAAAAACCCCCAAAAAAACCAACCAAAAAAAAATAACAAACAAACCCAACACATTACAACATAAATTTACAAAACATTCTAGCAAAAAGTGCACGTTGAGATTTCTTTAATTTTAACACGTATTACTACTGTAAGTTTGGTTGATCCGGTCTAGCGTTGTCATTTTTTGTTGCAGTATTTGTAATTTGTCATGCCATAAATACAGTGTCGGTGTGTCTATATATATATACACATAAGATAACATACCTTTTATAGTTACTAAATTGACTGAGTAACAACACATCATACGTAGGTTATGTTATCCAGTAAATTTTATATTATCTAAATTACATTTAGCAGAGCACTTATTCTTGTAACATTAGAAAAAAGTTTTGCTTTGTAGTTAGATGTGATATTTCTTGATATTAGACGCTCTGCATGTTATTCTAATAGTCAAATTATGTTTTCAAATCCAGTACACGGCGCACTGTGCAGCATGGTTACTGAGTTTACAATGTGCGGTACCTTTAATGAGACATGTATCTCTCTGCCTGAGATTGCTGTGCATTGCATTCCTGGGCAGCAGAAGCCATTGGCATCTGCTTTCAACGGAGGAGTTGGAGAATTCCGTTGTCTCCTCAGCTCTTTTCTGGACATGTCTGTAATGGAAGAATTAAAGGGTATCCAGGGATGTAACTCTCACCAATCCTGGACTTAGTAGGCTAGGTCAGGTATGTCGTAGTTTAATATTTCCATTACATTTGCGTATGCCGTCAGTAAAAAGTCTATCTAGTCTTCTGAAAAAAACAAACATTTGTTCTCAATCAAATGCACGGATATTGGGAATGTTAATAGAATGACTTGGTCATGTCATTACAATTCTCTTTAAACATGTTAGTTATTTTAGTATTATCAATATATATAGCACCATTATATTCTGCAACACTTCACATTTATGGAAAGGGGATATTTAGACACGAAAAAGGCCCTACCCACTTTAGTCTACACTCTATAAGGATTTTGAGGTAGACAGATATATAGTTAGGTGTCTTGTCTAGGGACACTTACGTGGAGTGTTCTCACTGGGGTTTTTAACCTGGGTTTCCCAAATGTAAGGCAGTGATGTTACCACTGCTTGTTATGGAATGGTTATTAAAATGAGAATTAAGGTTAAAACAATATGGGTGATAAAAATGTTTGTTAGGTATTTTCACGATTGTTGGTATTGATCAATTAACTAATATGTGCCCAGATTCATGTTCAAGTCCTGTGTCTGTTGCACCTGGTTCCAACTCAAGTCAAACTGTTCCGATCGAGCACTTACTTTACCCCTATATCTACTGGGGTTTCCATTAACTTTAAAAATGAAGTTTTCCCCAAGTTTAGCAATTTGGGGCTGTATTTAATGCATTTTACATTGACCCTAGCAGGATCTACGTGTCGGATGACCTGACTTTGGTGAGGTTTGTTTACAATGGTGTTTGTAAATAGCTGCTTAATCACTAATAATGGCTGTCTGGACACAGTATACAAGCAAAAGGTGCTTCCATTAAAACAATGGTGTGCCATAAAAAAGGGTATATTTTTTAAAATCGGAATGTGGCAGATTGAGCTGCCTAGTTCACCTGGGTCTTGTGAACCCTGGGCACCCAGCACGTAACAGTTCATAATTTCCAATTAGGTCTTGAAGATGTCAAAACCACGGACAATTAAGTGATACTTTACACAGGTAACATGATAATAAGACCAATCTTGGGTATATCTCTTTTTCTGCAGTTGTGTACAAAAGATTAGAGTGAGAATTAATAACAAATGAAGTTTTCGAATCTCGTCTCAGAGAAATAAATAGCATGTATTAGTTTTGGACTGTTTGAGAAAGAGGAACGTAACAAGTAAACATCGATACAGCAACATAACAGAATAAAGTAGAACAATGGACCAAAACAAAGAAAGAATGACGAATAGAGAAAATAATTCCATGTCAACCAAGATAGCTTAACTTTTGTTTTGAGTCATTATCTTTGTCCAACCCAGCGGATTGCTAATCTTTGCCACTCTAACTGCTGTGGCCCACATCATGGGTACCATAGATCAGAGCAGGTGACGTGCCAAAGATTTAGGCATCACTGGCCCTGTGTTATAGTTGTTATAGAATAAAAATAAACACTTTCTATTATTTGTTATAACTGCAGAGTCAGCATTGGAATGACAAGTAAACTTACAAAACGTGCCCATATGATTAGTGTAACTACATCAAAACAACTATGTGACAGCCTTCACTTTGCTGCCTAAATGATTACAATGTTATATTATTTGTACTATATCTTTTAATAAATTAATGCATGAATGAAATGTTTTGCGCTGTAAACTGCAAGCTAAGCAAAAAAACATAATAAAATACTTTCTAAGCACGCATAATGTGCGCATGTAAAACCTCTCGGCAGGCATACAGCACAAAACAGGGAGATGAATATACTCTGAATTTACAAAATTATATAAAAAAAAAAAAAAGAAAGGATTTTCTTCAGAATTGCAGTTTGTATATTTACTAAATCTAGATTTAGATTCAGGACAAGATAGGGTCTGCTGAAAAAAATATAATAGCAAAGAAATGGTCCAGAGAATATTTATCAAACAATGATAATTTAATACATTGGGATAGTTAGTAATAGGTTAACAAGCATTATAATCTGTCTAAACCAGGGGTAGTCAACCTGGTCCCTACCGCCCACTAGTGGGTAGTTTGAGATTTCAGGTGGGCGGTGGTAGGTTCTGAAGAAAACCCCTAGTGGGCCTCGATGGCCGTTGACCAAAGCCGGCAGGGGAGATTCTTTCATCTCCATGCAGGGCCAGCCTTGCTGTAAGCCCTCTCAGGCTGGTGAGGAGATTAAAGTTCCAGCAGAGGGAGAGAAGGGCCTGGGAGGCTCTGTGTTCCTCCCGCGAGCAGGCTGGTCGGGGCGTTGCCGCACGTTCCTATACAGCTCCGATACAGTGCTCTGCTTGCAGGAGGAACATGTCACCACTGGACCATCAGGGCTTGAAGCATTATGTATCTCCTCCTTGGTAAAAGGTAAGAAGAAGGGAGGTGGAGACATTAAGATAGCTTCTTACATCTCACTCACATACACACAGCATAGACCCTATGCACCCTTTACACACAAACACACACTGCCCCCTCAACACACTACACCCCTCACACACACTACACATCTCACAGACGCACAGACTGCCCTGTTCACACACACACACTCACAGATTTCCCACCTAACACATACTGCCCCCTCACACATACACAGATTGCCCCCCTCAAACACACACTTCACCACTAACACACTGCCCCCTCACACATGCACTGCCTCCTTCACACACACAAAGAAAACCTAATTTCTAAAAAAAAATGCGCTATGAAATTAGTTACTGCGGCACTGGTGGGCGGTAAGGAAATTTTACCATCAATAAATACAAAAGTGGGCGGTAGGTATTAAAAGGTTGACTACCCCTGGTGTAAACTAACGTGGAAATATCTATATTTAAATCAGTCCTTAATATAAATATCTTGTATTCAAGTGCTTTTCAAAGTTAAATAGTCTTGAATTGTGTAGAGTTCATACAGACTAGATTATTCATGAAACTCAGACTAGTGGCCAATTAAAATGTGAAATTAGAATAGCTGATCAGGAAGAAATTCGCCAACTTGGCTATAGTCACAGCTAAGATTTTTTTAACCCAAATTTTTAAATAGAAATTTAAATTCGCTACAGTTCAGAACAACCCTGCATAGCCAAATCAAAACAGATTTCCAAGTCAAGCCTTGTATTGAGCTGACTATTTGGACCTACAATTTAAAACTGAAAACTGAATTGCAAATATAAGCATCAATAGGCAAGCCTTGACTATAGTGTAGTAAGAGAAATTTGATGTTTAGTGAATAAACCCCTGTAGGTATTTTTTTTGTTTTATTTATAATCCTTGCAATCTTTATTGAGATCCAGGTGTAAAACCGCTTACTTCAAATCAGCAAGGTAAGGTATCAATAACCTTTATTGGAACATATTCTAAACATGAATACTATTTAGAGCAAACACCAGCCCGGAAGAGTAAAATGGCAGATGTGTTGGTGTAAAATCTATTTTCTCAGATTTAAGCCAATGTTTAAAGATCTGCAGGTTCAGTAAACAGGATAATGGGAGTGCTTCATTAAGGAGTTCATGTAATAGCCTTGTCTGGGATAAGATATAAAAATTTAAATCACTTGTTTTAATAGCAAAGTCCATGAACTGAACAAGCGGTTAAATTTGTTTAAATTAATCCAGATGTGGCTGTATAATCTATGCAAGCATTGGCAAGACTGAGTCTGCTCTTTATCACCTAATCCTAAAAAATAATTTTGCAAGAGTGCCAACCCATTTCTTCACTGAGTTCAGCAATTTATTATCCAGCTTGTGCCTCCTTCAAGGTAGGAGAGAAAACTGCCTGCAGCAAGTAAACTAATTAGCGGGGCCTTGGGGCCTCAATCATTGACCAAACACTGTTTTGTAATGCAATCTGCCCTTTGAAGACATAATCAGTGTGATTTCCTATAAGCATCGATATTGTACATCTGACTACAGTCCATAACCTCATGTCCTCTAATCAGCCCAACACACATTGCAGTTGAACATCTTCCAAGACTATAACAGGGCCTATCTATCATCTTCTATTTGTTCTTCATAATAAGACCTTTTGTAAATAATTACTCATTATTAAAAAAAAAAAAAAAAAAAAAAGTATCATAGAGGCACCAGATGTGCATTCTTTTTTGGTGGATAAGACATAATGTGATGGAAGCTCGTTTGAGCAGGGTGCTCAACAACCTCTGTTCATGTGTGTCCAACAAGCCTGTTAGTCCACCCATGTACAGCACTTTGGAATTTGTTGGCGCTTTATAAATAATAATAATAATAATAGGTGGTGATGTATAATATGATTACCACAAAGGAAAAACACCCCTTACTTCAATTTCATGTTAATGATTTTTTTGTAAAAAAATAGTTTTTATCTCTCTTAATAAATGCAGGTGAGTAATACCTCAATCTCCATAGCTGTTTGCAGTTTTACATAGATATATACACACACACATATATATATATATATTTTTTGTTATAATCTTTATCGAGGACCAGTAAAGAAACATGTTTTATCACTGATATTGCCAATAATGCAATACATTGAGCTTATTTGTCCACATTTTCCATTTTCTAAAATAAAAGTGAAACAATTAAACAAAACATAGGAAGAAGAGGAAAGGGAGGGTGTTTGGTGGTAGGGAACCCATTATGTAGACTTGGAAGGTCGTGGAGAAGGAGGATCTATTTGTAGTAGAACACGTCTGCCGTATATAAAGTTTCAGAGGTATTTTGCCTTGCGGATGAGCTCTCCTTAGTATGGCTAAACCAAACATTCTACATTGCAGACTAATTCCAAAATTTAGTAATCAGCACTGGTTTAAAAGTGCAAATTTGATGAGTTAATCCCAGGGTTCTACTCCAAGATCAAAGGCCACTTTTAAATCAGGTTTAGTGTGCAAATGGAGAAAAGTGAATACATAATGGTAATATTAGACTTTAGAAATTAATTTACTTACTAACTGGAATTTGTCTGAATTTGGGCAGATCGATTGATAGCACAAATTTCGGAATTTTGAGCCAAACCATAAAAATCTCACAATGTCCGAACACATTCGTTTGATTTGTAATTAGGAATTACACCTGTGGTGCCAAAAAAAGAGATGTTTATTGGGTGAAAAAATTACCAATTGTTGTTGCACTGCCGTTAGTTTTTTATTTTATTCACCGATGAAGTGAGGAGTGGCCAAGAAATGGTAAAAAGGAGGAGCAGTAAACAATTACTATATATTATGTATTAAATATTTTTTTGTTTATTATTGAATGAAGTGATCCGCTTTTGTTTTTTAGCTATTGTTTTTTTTTTTTTTGCTTTGAGCAAGTCTAATATTAATTGCATGTTTTTACTTTATATAAACCTCGTTATCAAGTTTTAAGAAAGATTTTCCTGGTGCTTAATGAAATATAATAAAGCATGGCTTGTATGAAATTAAACTTCCTTTCTTATATTAATATCAATATATTTTAGACCTCTATGTGAATTCATAACATACACATTAACTAATGAAATGTATTGTATGCACCAACTTTTGTAACACTGTGTAAACTTTGGTCTAAGCTTTTCAATTCCCTGGTGAGTTCCCCACAATTCATATTTCAGTGAATACCCCTGACGGTGTCTTCATGACTTTTATTGGCCACATGTTTAAAGTCTGAATGAATGTAACAACAACTTTCCAAGTTCGCCAATCATCATCTTGAAGTGGTACATCAATGAAAACACTGGGTAAGTCAGCCCGGCTTAGTAACTCATAATTCTGCCGATATTAGAAGATACAGTATGTGCGTTGATACTACTCATGTCTTTCTCATTATTTTAATAAAAAAATACAAATTGACAATGCAAGGTACACACAAGGTGTAGGGAATTAAAAAACAAATTGTAAAATTCAAGCAAATCCCAATTAGTTCTTTAATAACACAGTGTTCCCCTAAGAGGCATCATGAGATGGGGTTCAAATTTTAGATCAAAGTTGCAGAACTATAAAAATGCTTAGTTGAAGGGTTTTTTTTCTTTTTTGAGTTCTTCTCTTTATGAATCAAAGCTGACTCCGATTTTCGAATTACACAGACATTAATTGCAGTAAGTCATGTTGATCTGCAACCAAACTTACCATACAAAAACAATAAATGAAAATAAAAGTGTAAGTAATACCACAAAGCATTAGCATCTCACATCCACCTTTTCTATTGAGACAAAGAATTGCATTGAAAAGGTGCAACCCAGTTCAAAGCTGATAACTAGCTTTAATAGTGCCAAGCTGCCTTCGTTCTGTCCCAACTAACAGGTTGGGTATTTAAAAAAAACTACTGCCGGTGCAACTGGTGCTGCTGGGACTTGCACCAGACTGGGCCTCGGTTAGATCTGCAGCTTGGTTGCGGTGGTGGGAGGAAGTGAGTTCAGGTCACTTCACCAAATGCACCAAATGTCAACAATACACACACATACAAAACTGCATTCAAATGCCAACATTTTACTCAAATACGCCCCTCTTATAGACACACATAGTCCATATAAAAACATGCTTACATTTATACAAATGGAAACTGCTCACAAATATAGCCCTGATAGGTTGGGCAAATGGTAGACCCCCAGCTGGCATAGCATTATGGGAGGTGTAAGATAGTAGAGGATCTAACCTTTGGCCACCCTTGAGCTGGGGGGGGGAGGGGAAGACAGTCCGTCCCTTGCACTAGTGCCTTCTCTGCCTTAGTTCCACCAAACCTAATTTGTATCAGACCAGACTGATGTCAGATGTTCCTGCTCCATGTTATTGCCTTGTGTAAACTCCACAATATTTAGCGAATAGCCCTGTTTAACTTTTTACAGACTCTTTCAATGTATGACCAAGGCTCCAAAGAAACCTAGGGGGGTGGTTTCACTCACCTGAACATGCTTGAATGGGGTGCTGCTGGGGGCCATATTATACAATAAACAATACACAAGATCCAGCGCACTCTCCTATCTACTAAACAGCAACTTCAATGTTGACAGATTTTATTAGTGTTTTTAAAAAGTTTTTTCTAAAGGTTTTTTTTAAAAACACCTAATCTAGGCAAAAAATAATGGGGATTTAGTTACATTATATGATCATACATTGCATAAGCCTGCCACAACGTTACTGTACCCCGTCTTTGGCAGGTCCTACTCTCACAGTCCAAAGAAGCCTTCCCTTTAACTTGCAAAATACTCTAGAACAGAGTAATCCCTCTAGATCTGTTCAGATCTAAGTTACTGCTCCACCTTAACCTGCAATGCTATTTTTATCACTTATTGTACAGCGTGCTGCACAAGTAGTGTTTTTTTTTGCAAGCAAATGCTTGAATCTGTTATTGTCTTTGCTAGATTTCAGGTTGTCAGTCAAAATTATAGCATGGAACTTTCCATCATTCTATTTTTACTGAAAAATCCATTATTTAAAACTTTCCTCAATTTTATTCCGTAGGGGCTATAATTCACATAACAGAAAACTGATGCAACGTCTTTATCATACAATAAATGAGATCTTCAGTTATACATTATATTGTAACACTACTAGAACGTAGACAATGGTAGCACAGCAACGTTATGGCTTGCAGAGTTTGCAAACGAATCCTTATATAAAGAGACCAATGCACACACTATTTATCAGAAACTACACCTATTAATTGTGTTGTTAATAATTACTTTCAAAACACGATATTATGAATTAAAATTACAACTTAATTTTTATTTGAACAATTTAAGTATTTAACTTTAACTGTAAAGTATGGAGTGGCCAGTTGAGATCTGCACCCCTTTAAAAGAGCTACTGAAAGTGTATTAATGGCTTTTATTAGCTACAAACATGCATAACTAACCAATCGCACAAACATATCAACACACATCTAAAAAAAATAAACAAATAACTAATTAGCACACACACACACACACACACACACACACTCATAGATGCAAAGACACACACTCACAATCATACATGCAAAAAACACACACACTCATAATCATACCTGCAAAGACACATACACATTCATAGATACAAAGACACACACTCACAATCATACATGCAAAGACACACACACACACACACTCACACATGCTAAATCTCATGCAGTGACGAGCTGTAGAACTTGTGTTCCTTATTGTTCCCCTTTAACTCTCAGTGTGCTGATTAGTACATTAAATGCTAGCTTCCTATCAGCTATGCGCTGGGCAATCAGCGGCTAACTGTCGGGTAAGGCACCCAGGGACCGGTGTCCGTGCTCTCTGGGTACAAATATCACAACAAAAATGAATTATTTTTATGTCTGAGATGCATTGAGGTTGTGTTATATTGCTAATAAAAAGATCCTATTTTAATATCTGTGTTAAGCCATTAAAGTGCAAGACTTTACTGTGCATCGACCATTAAATATCCCATGTCTGTGAAAAATCAATAAACAAATAATTAAAAAAAAATCTATTAAAGTCTTCTTTTTGCACTTATTAGCTGCTGTTTTTATCATTCTAGGTAAGTAGGTACACTTACTATGTTTAACAATAAATGTATTTACTTAGCATATTAAAATAGTACTGTAATTATCAAAAATATTATATCTCTAATTACCTAAAATCTGCAACACTCTGTGTTATTAAAGGTTGTGAATCAGATCCCGTTTTGAGCTATTGTATGTGGTGTGGATGAGTGTGTTATGACCCTAATCCTGTTTGATAGGGCAAGACATACAAAAAAGTTGTTTTCCTGGCACTATAGCTCCCTATAGTGCCCCCCCCCCCATGTCAAGGTTAAAAACCCCTTCTGTCACTTACCTGAGTCCAGCACCGATGTCCCTTGGCGCTGGCTCAGGCTCCGCCTCCGCTCCTCCCTCTCCGACGTCAGCTGGCAGGGGAGGACTAACGCACATAGGCGGCAAAAACCTGCTTGAATTAGTACTTGCCCTATAGGAAAGCATTATAAAATGCTTTCCTATGGGGTTCTGGGTGATGCTGTAAGTCCTCATGCATAGCGTGAGGATGTCCAGCGCCAGTTAGGCAACCAAAAGTTGCCTAATGTCCAAGAAGTCCCTCTAGTGGCTTGCTGGTAAACAGTCACTAGAGTTGGACTTAACCCAGAAAGAAAATGATTGCAGTTTATTGAAAGGGACCTGGGAATATGCACCCAGACCACTACATAGAGCAAAGGGTATTAGAGGGACATTAGTGTAGCAACACAGGGAGCTAAAATCTTTTTTTGGAGTTCACTTGGCATTCTCCGCTGCTTCATAATGAATATAGGCGAGTTGTCTATTTTAAAAACGTAATATTGGAAAATATGCATGTGTTGGTTTAGGAAAGGGAAACAAGCAGTGGCTCCATTTATATTTAAGGGGCTCCTAGAGACCCCAGATTCACAGCCTGACATGCGCAACCAATAACAAATATGGATGAAATTGATACTGTTATGCAGAAGTAGACTGTTATAAGGTGCCTAGAGACACAATATATTTCTGGACTGACAGCCAAGAAAAATGCTCACTAGTTTTCCGTCCTGCAGCATCGGAATTCTTTATGGTAGCAAGGGAGCACTTTTCTGTTATATGGATAAATGTTAATGTTTAAACTTTCTTTATTGCACATTCTGTTTAATTTGGAAAGAAAATTCTCCTGCTCTGTTAATAACCTGCTAGTGCCTACAGGAGCCACCTGTGCAATTAAATTTTAGCAGGAGGTAAACAAAAACTTCTAAAGTAAGTTAAGATCTGATTGAAAATGACACTATTTTTTATTCAGGCTGTGTCAGTCACAGTCAAGGGAGGTGTGGCTAAGGGCTGCATGAACAGAAACAAAAGTGATTTAACTCCTAAATAGCAGAGGATTGAGCAGTGAAACTTCAGAGGCATGATCTATATCCAATAACTGCTTCATTAACCTTAGTTGTTTCTGATTCCTATAGTATCCCTTTAAAGTTGGCAATGTGGAAATCAATAGAACAAAATATTTCCTGTAATGATAAACCAGTTGTTTCTGTTAATAAATTGATATTATTTTCAGAAAACCTCTGGTGCTCATCTATCTTATTCTGTATAAGTGGTAAATCCAATTGCCCTTAACTACTACTATGATAGCATAAACAATGGCCTATAATTATGCTACACTTTGTAAGCTGGCCTCTAATGGTAATGATGTATTTTTATTAATCCATGCTTGCTAGAGATATCAGACTAATCAGACTGTTCTAGCCCCCTCTCATGTGTAAACGCAGTAATCCCCAATTGTGGACTTATTAAATTCGGATCTCCCACGGAATGCGGCAATGATGATCAACTCAATTTATCTCACCCTAGGGGCATCGCAGGCACCTACTAGACACATCAATTATCTTGCTGTACTGCTAGGTAACTATTGCAATCTCCTCGTTATCATTATGGAATATGATTAGCCAGTCTTTTAACACTAAACAGATTATGCGTTTACAACTCAATAAAGGAAACACACTTTTTTATTTTTTTTTTTTTTTTTTGTTTCTTTCTAAATTAGTTTCTTTGTTTCTTATGAAAACATTTGCAAAGCCCAACCATAGCAGAACCTTGCAGAGATGTACACTGGCTGGCCTTTTACATAAAGACTATAGAAATCTCCCCAGCACTGAAAGGTTACACTATCCAGAACATCTCAGTACAAGCATCTGGGCATGCATTTTAACAGGTTATTCACAAAGGACACAGTACTGGACAAGGGAACCTTAAGAAGAAGCGTTACTCTCTCCTGACACCTAAAGGGTTAACTATGTGGATTATGAACCAATGTGGACAACACTTGTCGTTTACATCATAGGTAGCTTAAGGGTATACTCTATATATCCAGTGATGTCATTAGATCAAGGGCATTTTTTTACAGAGACCTCCCCTTTCTTTGGTGACCTTCCCCAGCCCCAGTATATAGGTAGTCCTCACCTTACGACTTACCTGTACCTGTATAAGGACGGCTCGGACTTACGACCAGTTCTCTAGCATGGGGATTCGAGGGATTCCCCATGTTAAAGAGCTGTTCCATGGATAGATTTAGGGATTCCATGCTCTGGTGCGTTTGTCTATGTTTGGCAAAATTTCCCCGAACATCGATTTGAGGGATTCCCTGGGCTAGTGAACTGGTCTCTCTTTGGGGGGAATTCCCCTAAACATAGACCTGCTCTCTAGCGCATGCGAGATTCGGCCAATTCGTTTTACGACCAAATTGTAGGAATGGAACTTGGTCGTTAAGTGAGGATCACCTCTACACATAATGTCCTGCTCTCTTCCCCCTTAACCATCTTCTCAGCTCAGCCCAGGAATACTGGCACCATGGGTGTGTATGTGCCTCACCCCTCATTAGTTCCCACTGTGTCATTGCAGTCTCCCACCAGGTCCTAACACTGATATACATGCCTTTACGTAACACCTTGTACTGTATATATGCTGCCTGTCGTTCAATAAACCAGTATTGTCTTGTCCCTCTATTTAGTCATGTCTCATGTTTGGGTACAAAGTAGGAAGAGCTTTTCATCACTTTATCCAGGATCTGGCCCTGGCTGCAAGGTGAGTAGCCATAAGGAATGCATTGCTGCAGTAGCTCCTGGAGGTCTCTGTTGGCATGTAGATGGAACGGACACAGTAACAGATAAAGGTTTGGATCCAAAGTCCGGGAGCAGGCCCGCTGTTCCTGTTATATACAAAATGGGCAGTTTAGGGATTCTGCTAAAGTACCTAAAAATAGGATAAAACATAGTGCCTAATTGGTCTGAAAATAATCAAAATCTGATGTTATATTGCACTCACAAATTTCAGATGGTCAGAGTGTTTTATAGGTGCCACCCTCGATGTTGTTAGGGGGCTTGGGTTTCCTCCTTTAGTGATAGCCGTCGGACACCTAGGCCAGTATGATGGTTCACAAATCTCTAGCCGAAAGGATGATCCAAAATGGGGTTTATTCACATAAAGGTTAAAAATAAATGAACTACAAATATTTAAAAGGTCCACAGGTCCTACGCGTTTCGTTCTTACAAAGAACTTCCTCAGGGACCAAACCTCATAAAACCATTAATAATATTAAACAGATGTTACCAGGGGTGTACCTAGAGCATTTGGCACCTGGGGCTGGTCCTGTGTTTGGCAACTCCCTCCTCCCCCCATTCAAATTTAAAAAAGACCCACTAATAAACACCAGCCCCCTCTACAAAAACCACTGCCCAGTCCACCTTCTACAAAACCCCAACCCCCATTTCTACAAAGCCCCTGGTCCCCCTCTACAAAAACCCTGCACCCCCTCCTCTACAAAAAACCCTGATCAGTCCCCCTTCTAATAATCCCCTGCCCAGTCTCCCTCTTACAAAACCCCTGCTCCCCTCTACAAAAACCCTGCACCCACTATCTGATGTATAAAACCCCTGCCCAGTCACACTTCCACAAACCCCTTTCCTACAAAACCCCTCGTTCTACAAAGCCCCTGCCCAGTCTCCCTTTTACAAATCCCCTGCTCCACTCTACAAAAACCCTGCACCTCCCCTCTATAAAACTACTTCCCCAGTAACCTTTCTACAAACCCACCCTTTCTACAAAACCCCTGCTCCACTCTACAAAAACCCTGCACCCTCTCCTCTACAAAAACCCCTGCCCAGTCCCCCTTCTACAAACCCTCTCTTACAAAACCCCTGCCTAGTCCCCTTTTTACAAATAACCTGCCCCATCTACAAAAACTATTTCCTATTTAAATAATGATTGGAGTGCAAACATGCGTATGTGGCCAAATCTACACTTTAAAAGTCTGTTATTGGCTGATTTTCTGAACTTGTGATGTTACTGTAAAAAGTTTCCCCCTTATCATTGTTAGTTTTTTTTTTCTCTCTCTCAATATTTTTCTGGCAGAAATTACAGCCACTTTGTAAAATGAAAGTCCCAAAAGAGCTGCAGAACGTATACGCATTCACCCAAGGGTAGACCTTGTGATGGAAGTAAAATCTTTATTTGACGAGATAAGCAATCAGCCAAAATCTATCCTCTTTAAATAAACTGATTCCCCAGTATTTTCCCAGTGTTAGTGTAAGTTGTTGTCTGTTGTGTCCCCTAGGGCGCTTTCCTGTGCTCTCTGATTTGGTGTATAAAAGCAGCTCGGAATGATGGATTACTGTGTCATTGCAGCCTGCAAAGGATTAATTTGTTTCATTGATTTCTCTTTAGGCAGATTGCCAGGAGTTGCTGCTTCCCACCTTTCTGTGAGACTTCCAGCAGTAATAGACAGTAATAGCCTAAGACAAATCAGCCTGTTCTTGTGTAAGCAGAACCACAAAAATCTCAGATTCCACGAAAGCGGAAAGACTGGACCATGCTAAATGTGTCTTCTTGAGTTTGATGTTGCAATATAGCTTAGTTTTTTGTTTTTTTAAACTGCTGGAGCTTTGTAGAAA